ATTTTCGACAATCTTTGATCAAGTGCTCGGGTGACTTACGGTAATTGCATATTACTCCTCTGTCAAATTTACCCGCACAAGACATAATACCTTTTTTTTCTTTTTTTTCTTTTTCTTTTTGATTTTTTTTTTGTTTTTTTGGTTAAAAATAAAATAAAAAACATGAAATATTCAGTGAAAACTGGACTCACCGCAGCTTTCCCGTTTGTGGATTTAAAATTTGGAGAATAAAATATCCAGCTTGGGCTTTGGATTGCTGCGCTCCAAACTTAAATCTAAAGTAGATGCGCAGATCTGATGCGAGACCCCAGCAGATAACACATCCAAACAACCAGTGAAGGAGCGGATGTCTGGAGATTGCGAGACCCAGCGATCGAACAACCACCGGACCTCCTCTCACAGCTACCTTCCCTTTGGGCATGCGGAGTTTGGGTCGCCGGTCGCCAGGCGGCAGGCAAACCAGAGGGTGAGGGAGGTGAGACAGATGTTGGACTAAGGTTTTGAACTATTGTCCTCTGATGTTCTGTTGAGGTTCTGAGACTGCCGATGTTCTGAACGGGAAGAAACTGGGCTGTGAAATTAGAATCAAATGGAACAGAAAGTCTCTGATTTTGAAAAGGGTTGCCGGCTTCTGAGATAGGAGGTTCTGGGATAGGAGGTTCTGGGAAGACGTTCTGGGAAATTTTCTGGGAAGAATCTGGGAAGAGGTTCTGGGAAAAGATTCTGGGAAGATGTTCTGGGAAGAGTCTGGACTGAAATCAATTTCTTGGAGAAAGAACACAATCTGAAAACTGAACTGAGATATGACAAACTAAACTGAAATCTGAAAAGAAAAACTTAACTGAAATGGATTGCTCTGATACCATGTTGAAATATAAACTAGAATAATATTGAAGAGAGGAGGAAAGATTTTCTGTTTATTTCATTGAAGAGTAAGGCCCTATAAATATAGATTACAAAGATAGAATATTCCTATAAAAGATGCTATACAATAATACTATATATGGTATATTCCTAATATATTCTAAAGCATATTCTAAATTATATTCTAATATACTTTCACATTCATCATCCATCATTTAATTTTCTGATCTAAAAGCTTGCTAACTTCTCTTTCATAGGTGCCACCTGATGCTGTTGAACCACTTTTTAGGCAAGTAGTCAACCAGTTTGTTCACGATCGATCCAGGCCAGAGGTAATCTTTTATTCTTTGTATTACCAAATATTTTTTTGATACATCGGAAAGCAGTATTACCAAATATATCTCCATAGTAATGTGGATCACATCATTTATCTAAATATCAGGCAATCTCTGTCGGGCTTAATGTGGTCAGGGAAATGTGTTTGCGAGTGCCCTTGGTACGTAAAACCCTAGACTCTTGGCTCCTGACCATACAGTTGATATCTATTTTATTGAATCTCACTAGAACCACCCTATTTTTTCTTCTTAGTTGATGACAGAGGATCTTTTGCAAGACCTTGTATTATATAAAAAATCACAAGAGAAGGCTGTTTCGTCTGCTGCTCGATCACTTGTGACATTATTCAGAGAGGTATAACCATATAGTATTTTCATTTTTTGCTTCTGCTGTAGGTATGTAAGTTGGTGTTTTTTTATATGCACATGCTAACCAGAACAATCTGCAGATTTGTCCTACACTGCTTATCAAGAAGGATAGGGGACGCCCTTCTGATATAAAAGCAAGACCAAAGGCATTTGGTGAAGTGAATGTTGTGAGCAATGTTCCTGGAATTGAATTGTTGGAAGAGGATGACGAGGAGAGTGATGATGATGTGGAAGGCGGGTCCATCGTTTCATCCGACAATGATAAAGTAGGTGATGAAGATCTTTCCCCTGTTGAAGATGACGAGCGTGATGATGATGATGCTTCCGAACATGCACTCAGTTTATCTAGTGACGAGTGTGAAATTGATGATGAAGATTGCAGTGATATCGACAACACTGATGATGTAGAAGAAGAAAAAATGTCTGACGATGAAGATGCTGATGACTATTTAAGTGAAGAGAATAATGAAGATGAGTTCGACGACCTGTCTTGTAGTCTAGGTACTGGTAGTACTCAAGGTCCTTACGGTGGGGAAAGCAAATCCAAGGCAAAGAAAAGGAAGTTTGATGATTTTGATGAAAAGCTGCAAGCTTCTAGTAAGAGTCTTAGGGCGCTAAAGAAATTAGCAGGATCAAAACTTGGAAACGATTCTTCAGAAAATGCACAAGATGGCATTCTATCCAATGAGGACTTCCAAAAGATCAAAGAGATGAAGGTACGTAGTTATAGTTTACTGCCCATGTCTCTTTGTTAATAATTTTTGGTGAAATTCATAAAAATAATCTCCACTTTTAGGGATTCTACAATAATAATCCGTACTCCGAGTGTTCACAAAAATAATCCGAACTAATAATGGTGTTCATAAGAATAAAATGAGGTGAATTCAAATCAATGCCCGTTTAATATTCTCAACTCTTACTCCCACTTTTCTCTTCCCCACTCTTCTTATTGGGGTAAATTTAAACTAAAACCCGTTTAATATCAACACTATATCCGCCATATGTGGTTGGAACATAAAAGTGTTAACCGGAGAGCGGTGAATGGAAAAGTGGAGGTAGGGGTTTGAGTTTTTAAATTGGCATTTATTTGAATTCATTCTAATTTATTCTTGTGGATTATTTTTATGGACTCTCAGTAGAGATTATTATTGTAGAATCCATAAAAGTAGGGATTATTCTTGTGAATTTCGCCATCATTTTTCATAATATGATTTGTCTTGCATATTTTTTCTCAGGCTAAAAAAGAAGCTAGAGTTGCTTTGACCAAGACTGGATTTAAACTTCCTAGCTCAGACGAACTTAGTTCAAAAAGAGTTAACGCCTCAAAACTTGAGGTTTGTATTCTTCTCTGAAAGTTTGTTTTGTGTGTGTTTATTCTGGTGAGGTTTCTTACGTATTTGATTTGGTAGTATATATGCAAGGAGAAAGTACAATTTTAAAACTGCCCCCCACAGGAAAATGGCAGTACAAAGTATAACTAACTTGTAATGTCATTAATTTTTAATGTTAGGCTAATATAAAAAAGAAGTTAAGCAGAGAAGAAAAGCAAGCATTAATGAAAGCTCGCAGGGAGGAGCGAGGAAAGTACCAGGCTCGTGCTGCTATTAAGCAGAAAAAGGTATGTTTTTCTATTCCTGCCATTTTCCCTAATTTCTTGTATTAGCATTTTCGTTCAGATGCTCTCCAAGTAGCTTTTGGGTTCCATTTTTTGTCATTGTTATTGTGTTTTGTTGGGAAGAACCAAAGACTTGAACATTTTATCCTAAGAGTATGTTTTTGTTTGGCTCCCCAGTCATGGCATATTTTAACCTCTTGCATCTCTCACTTTCTTAGATCCCCACTCTTTTTCTTACATTGCACTTGCTTATCATTCACCCATGACATATGAAGACCTTGACTAGGACGGGTAATTTGAGAGTTTGTTGTTCCTTCATGGAATCATATATACTCATAATATGACACCACCATCCCCAACCACCCGTTCTTATAGTGTGATCACCCGCATTGGGGGTTTACCGAAAATATGACTGAACTTATGGTCGCATCAGTGTAAAATTCATCATAATCTTTATTGTGTATTAATATCACAAATTTGTCACTCTTTATTTTAGTCGCACATTAGTCATTATTTCTATATTCTATGTCATCTTGTTCTGACTGTTACTTGTGTTGTAAATGCTGTGTAGACTGGTGGTACAAGCAATGTGCAAAAACAACGCAAAAAGGTTATGCCAATGGCTGCAAATAGGGAAAGGTTTACAAAAAATAGAGAGAAAAAGAAGATAAAACAACAGCGAGCTGGTAAGCAATTCAGAGGAAGAAAAGCATGGAAGTGACACGCAACATTGCAACGTTTTTTTTAAATTCCAATTTTGTGTCCCTCTTTTGGTTCTACAGAAAAAAATAATCTCAGTTTTGTTCTGATTATTTTTATCAAGGAAGCGTTTGTATTTTTTAATATTAACAGTTATTTAATCATTTTAGATTTCTACATCCTTTTCCTTTGGATTATAAAGGTGTATAGTTGTGCTTCCTATTCAATCGAAACTTGATTGCTATACCCATAAAATTAGGACAAAATGTGGGAATGATATTTTTTCAATCCAAAATCATTTAGGATGTTTTTACTTGGATTGTTTTCAGTTCCAGACCAGACTTGAATAATTATAAAATACACAGAGACCAAATGTTTACCTCTCCCATTAGCATGTCTCCCTAGCTTCTCTCCCCATTACCTCCCCATTAAGTAAAAATGAACATCTATATTCGTCTAAAGACATTTGCAATGGGGTTGAATTGGAGGGTGAGTTGAGATTCCATGATTCCACCCAAGTAAATTTACTTTTTTTAAATTTCAAAATATAATCTGAAATGCTGACACATGTAAGCTTTTAAAGTTGGAATTGAAAATTGAAGGGATTTTACACATGCAAGTGGATTCTCTCGCTTCAATGTCATTTTGTCTATATACCAAATGTACCTCTTCTCTTTGACACCCGATGAACATTAGAGATGCTCTAGAAGAAAATGATCAAAAAAAGAGTATGAACAATACTAATCTAATGAAATAAATGACCAAAATAAAAGAACATAATGTGAAACGACTTCCCCGAACTTTTTAAAAACTGTTTCTATGAATAATTTGGAGTATATAAGTATGCGTACATTTTCAAATGTATACTTTAAGTATACTTCTGTGCCTTTGTGGTGTAGAAGCAGTTTTCAAAAATAGATCTAAACTGTTTCTATGAATAATTTGGAGTATATAAGTATTTGTACACTTTCATTCAAACACTGTAATATCTATTTCTGTGCCTCTATAGTGTAGAAGCAGTTTTCAGAAATAGCTCTAAACTGTTTCTATGAATAATTTGGAGTATATAAATATTTGTACCCTTTGATTCAAACACTATAATATCTACTCTTGAGCCTCTGTGGTGTAGAAGCAGTTTTTATCTAAACATAAATAGATCTAAACAAAAATAGAAGCAGTTTTCCTCTACATGAGATTTTGTTTTTGAGAGTTAACGAACTTTCCAGTGAATCTTGTTGGTTGGAGACTTTCGGCGTTTGATTGCAAACGAAAAGAATCAGAAAGAAACATGGGAAAAATGGTTCCTGTTCCCAGAGTGGCTTCCATCTCTTCCTTTCATCTGCTTCTCTATCAACAGCCAACTCTCCATTGTCCCTTCTCTTCACTTTCACCTAACGTCGCCTTTACGTCCCTTTCTTCCCTCTACCCTCCTTAAGCCACTCTTTGGATCCGCGTCGTGGACCGTCTGCCACCACTGTAGCTACCGTTTCTGCTCTCTTTTCCTTTTCTTTTTTACACCATGGACCCTGCTACTTCCCGGCCTGCAATAGTCATCGATAATGGAACCGGGTATGCTAAGACTGGTTTTAAATGCTTTATTTTTACTCCGCCTGCGAGGTGCTCGATGGATTTCTTCAATGGGAATGATATTGACGGTTGCTACTGTTATCAGGTACACGAAGATGGGATTTGCCGGAAATGTGGAACCATGGTTCATTCTTCCGACGGTGGTTGCTGCCAACGATTCCTTCGTGAATCAGCCTCGGGCTTCTACCAAGACCAGCAATTGGTTGGCCCAGCACAGCGCTGGGGTTATGGCGGATCTGGATTTCTATATTGGCGACGAGGCGTTGGCCAGATCCTCTAAATCTAGTAGTACGTATAATCTGAGTCATCCCATTCGGCATGGCCAGGTCGAGGATTGGGATGCCATGGAGCGATTCTGGCAGCAGTGCATCTTCAATTACCTGCGGTGTGATCCTGAAGATCACTATTTTCTTTTGACTGAGAGCCCAATGACTCCTCCCGAGAGCAGAGAGTACACTGGTGAGATCATGTTTGAGACATTCAATGTTCCTGGGCTTTATATTGCAGTGCAACCTGTTCTTGCTTTAGCTGCTGGGTACACAACATCTAAAGTCAGTATTCATTCGAGTGAGCTGAGTGATTTAAACATTAATTTTTCCTCTTTGTTGCGTGTGTATGAAAGAAATATGAGATGGTTTTCATATTAGAGATCTATATATAAGAACCGTTACAGGATATGATGTTTGAACTCTTACTTCTTTGATGATATTATAAACATATAACTTTAATCAATGATATTTTTTATGTGCAAACTGACACGCTCTTCTTTAGTGTGAGATGACGGGAGTAGTTTTGGACGTTGGGGATGGGGCTACACATGTTGTACCAGTTGCAGAAGGTTATGTTATTGGGAGCAGCATTAAATCCATTCCCATTGCTGGGGGAGATGTTACTCTCTTTATTCAGCAGCTTATGCGGGTCAGTATCTCCTCAACCATTTATCACTTGAACGTATCTACTATATGCTCCGGTAATATATAGTTGAATGAATTAGAATGATGTAATAAATTTAGTAGCATCTTTATCCTTCTTGTTGAAGTAAAAAAGATGAACACGGTATTGCAACCTATAACAACCCAATGTAGAGCCAAGAAGGAACAGATTGTTATTTAAACATGCTCATTAGCTACCTTGCAAGCTAAGTTGATCATGTGTTACTTGGTAGCTACTGCTTCTGAGGACTAGTAGCGATTAGGTGAATACTCTGTCATGAAATAGTAAGATTAAAAACATATATCATATAGGTTTCTAATAATATTGCCATCCACTGTGTTTAGGATATGAAAACTTACAAAAGTGGAATTATGTGGTTGATATCGAATTTAGAATTCCGTCCGGCTATCTTTGGCACATGAAGAACTGGCACACATATCTAGGGAATTGGAATTATATGTTTGATATTAAACTTGTGAAGTATGAATGAATTCGAACCACACATATCACCAAATTTAGTACGAGACAGACTTATTGGGTGGACAAAAAAAGAGTGATGAACAATGATAGTGAGACAAAGGGTGAGAATGAATCTAACCACGCAGTCATTAACAAATATACTATGAGACAACTTAGTGAGGTGTACAAAAAAGTAAAGATGAGACAAAGATAATGCATAAGAGGAGTATTGTACAAACTTATAAATATTTGTGAATGTGCGTATGTTTATGTCACAGACCTAGCCCATACTAGGCCCATACTAGTGTCATAAGCTCAAATGTAGAACTCACTCCTAAAAGACCCCTCGATTATGAGGAGGGAACACCTTGCTTATAAGCCACCTGTCAAGCCCATACTTGACCGGTGTGGGATCGTAACAATACCCCACGCTTCGAAGAGCCAACGTCCTCGTTGGTCATGGCTATGTTGGTCACGGTTTGCACCCCTAGGGTCTAAGCCACCACTCCATAGGCCATCACTCCGAGTGTCGGGACCAGGAAGATGGGGATGGCTCTGATACCAATTATTACGGACCTAGCCCACACTAGGCCCATACCAGTGCCATAAGCTCAGGTGTAGAACTCACTCCTAAAAGACCAGCTGATTAGGAGGAGGGAACACCTTGTAAAATTATAAGCCATGGTCAAGCCCATACTTTACCGGTGTGGGATCGTAACAGTTTAAATACATAACACATGTAACCCATATATAGTCCACAACCACCAACTTCAACAAGGGCCCAACCAGGATTTAATCATAGGGCCCACAGGGGGCCCAAGAATGAACACAAATAATAAGAGGAAAATTTCGTAAATAGAACTAAAACAATGATAAAGTTCATAAAAGGACTTTCGTTGTTTTATTCTATGTCAAAGTCAATTTCTTAGAATCTATCCAAAAAAATCCCTCATGTCATGTTTTTATAGATCTACATTATTTTTTCCCTATTATTATATTCTGAGCTTGAAACAAAGCCTTATCAACTAATAAATTTAAAATTATATATCAATCAATCATAATAATACATTAATACTATGTGTCATTTTAACATATAACTACCCATACACAATTAAATCATTAAGTACTAAAAAGTTACAAATAAAAAAGAAAACTCGAAAACCCTTAACCAAAGAGCATACAAACTAGGCAGATAAACTAGGACAAACTAGGAATATATAGGCAGATAAACTAGAAATTCTTTCACATATGAAATACGGAGTAATATCTAATACCAGGAGAAATGTTCCTACCAGATAGGGGTGAGCAATCGATCGGTCGGTCAAATAACCGACCGATAACCGAATAATCGACCAAATTTTTTCACTCTAATAACCGACTGAAACTGACCGATAACATAACAATAACCGACCAAAAAATCGTAGTTCGGTTGCGGTCGGTAACCGAATAATCGACAATAACTGACCATGTAAATTTTTAAAACATATTTTTTTCAAAAATTTGAATGCTTTAGATAAAAATATTAGAAAAAATATTTGATACAAAAATGGATGAAAATAAATGTTTTTTTACACTACAAAACAAAATGAATGAAATAATTGATCATATATAAAATGCCTTTTCTCCATTCATGAAATAAGTAAGAAAAAATGAATTAAATTATCTCATAATAAAATTAGTTTTCTTACGCTACTAGTAGTTTCTCTTGTGCGTGAGTGTCATTTTATATCTTTCGGGTCAACCACTAAATACTAAATACATGAGATTTATTAAACTATGAGGGCTTTCCTTAGATATTACTACATACTAAACTAAAATATGACTAAAGTTAAAATGAGTATACCATTCATGATTACTATAATATAAAATTGATCACAATCATGTACATTAAAATTACAATTATAGTCATTAAAGTATGAAAAGACATATTTGTATCCATAATATTCATTTTGGTCATATATTTGACATTATTTCTTAGAGTAATTATGATATGTTATTAAGTGAAACATCATAGCATACATGAAGTACATACAAACGTTTATACGGAGTAGACTATACTTCGGTTTTCGGTTAACCGACCGATAACCGATTAAAATAACCGATCGTTAACCGAATAACTGAATAACCGACTTCTTTTAATATGTATTAACCGATGACCGGCCGATAACTGACTTTTTTGGTCGGTTCGGGTATCGGTTTTCGGTTTTATCGGTTTTGTCGTTATTTGCTCACCCCTACTACCAGACTTTCCTGACCGGAACCGCCGTCCGGCCGCCTCCATTTGAGGTACTTCTGGCTGGAATTTTCTGAGCATGTTTGACGTGCACTTGTCGTTAGGTGCACTCAAAATAAATAATCAATACAACACTAATACGCAGTATAGTGTAGTAAGGTTCGTATCTACAGGGAAAAGAATACTTTTCTTTTATAAAAGTAGTAACAAAGGGGGGTTTAGATTTGTTTGCTTTAAAAACACTAAGATAAACAACCTATATGAGTTTAATTCAATGAGATGAAGACTTGGTTTTGCTTTTATCCACTTAATGAAATGTTCGTCGATCCCGGTTATATCTTTAACTATCTTCCTCTCGAATACTCAATCGAGGAGTATATCCAGTTCATCGAGCGTAGTTATTAATAACGAGATGCGTTCATTAATAAAACTTACTATCGGGTCAATATAGAACAAGCGCCGTATATTAACTTGATAGTAGCAATAAACTTAAGATGAAAACGATTGAGATTGATAACCTCAACACAAGCGGTTTAATCAATATAATTAATTCCCCTTGGCATATTAACCATGAGATGCATGCATTAATATTCCAAGTTTACTACCGTTGAAAGAACCGGATTAATAACAAGCGTATTAACCGATCGATTCTAGTAATAATTAATATGAGAAACAATACTAGGTGATACTTTAAGTAATGTTTAAGATATTAACATGAAATATGAATAGGAATTAATCAATACTCAAGGAAGAATATTAAAATATATGAATCCTACTATGATTAATATCAAGATGTTAACTAATTGTCATCTTAGTAACACTCCCCAATATTATCATAGAGGAAGAAATAGCTATTACTATAACCAATGTCAAGATGTTAACTAATTGTCATCTTAGTAACACTCCCCAATATTATCATAGAGGAAGAAATAGCTATTACTACAACCAATGTCAAGATGTTAACTAATTGTCATCTTAGTAACACTCCCCAACTTTGATATAAAGATAGTATTTTGAAAGAAAGAATTAATATTCAAGGAAGAAGATTAAAGAAAATAACTCACAACTTACAAATTCATTAAGCTTCAAAGTAGCAAAACCAAGATGGAAGAGTTTAGCTCCTCATTTGGAGACTAAACATGATGAAAAATATAAAGAAAGAGCTATTCTATACTGAGCTTAGATGTACAAAGGGATTGGATATCTTTTTGTGAAGGAAAGGAGGTGTATTTATAGGTTTTTGGGATGGGATTCGGGTACTCGATCGGGTATATACATGGTACCCGATCGAGTACGTGTGTAACACTCGATCCGAGGCATACTCGACCGGTTTCAGGCTATTTTCTAAGAGTATACCCGATCGAGTATATATGAATACCCGGTCGAGTATGCTTAGAAAGTGGTATTCGGGCCATACTCGACCGATCTTCGTTTGCAATTCAAAGGCATACCCGATCGGGTATGTCGGTCTACCCGATCGGGTATAGACATAAAATCGTGGCCAAAATCTTCCCTGCATGTTCCCTTGTCTTCGGATCTGATCCGATTTGAAGTTCCAACCTAATACCCGATCGAGTATAGCTAATACTCGACCAAGTATAGACCAAAATTCAGGATCTTCTTTTGTCTTTGAACTTTTGCACCTTCTTTTCACTTTTTGGGTTCACCAACTGTACTTCGAGTGACCAAAACCTGCTTAAGCTCAGAACATATCTAATCTAACCTATTTACAAGAATTTAACAATCTAATCTATTACACCAAAAGTGTGTAATTTCCAAAGTAAAAGTCAAGCAAAACTAATTAAAAACATAAACATAGATATGGAAATTACGAACGTATCAACTCCCCCACACTTAAACCTTTACTCGTCTCGAGTAAGATCAAATGTTTACAAGTGTCAATGTTTGTCCAAAAGTTCCACAGTTCAACAAAAACATAATACAAACACAAAGACCACCAAGGATGACAAAGAAAAATGAGTTTTAAACTCAAATTACAAAAGAGCATCTTGGGTTTAATGGCCTCCTAGTGTTGTCTTCTTTTCTCCTCCTCTCTCCTTCTTTATCTTGAATCTTCTTATTCTTCACAAGGATACAATGAGTGCCTGCAAGAACAAACATTTCTCTCATATCTCTCATTTTGCCTAGGAGCCTTTTCAGGTTTTCATCCTAGCACCTCTTTTCATTTTCCATTCTCTCCAACTCACTCGATTTTTTATAAGCCTTTTTTGCTTAGATTGCCCATTTTGTTGGGTTTTCAACCTAACTAGCATTTATTTTCTTTGTTTATTTTTTCTTTATTTTTTTTTTGTTTTTTTTTTGTGTAAAAGTTCAAAAGAATTACATGCATAGTGCTAGGTAGAAATGAAAATTACATACCATCATGAGTGTCTCCCCCGCACTTGAATCAAGCACTGTCCCTAGTGCCCGCCTTCTCCTCCGTAGTAGCTCCCTTCAAAGCCGCTCCCTTGGCCACCATCTCCCATGTAGGTGTCCCCGCCATCTCCGCCGTCGTATCCTCCACCCCCGGAGCCAGATCCTCCAAAGTTACCCCAATGACTGGGGTCATACCATGAGGGTGGTGGAGGAGGGCTCGCCATGGTATGGAAGGATCCCTGCTGTGCCATAAAAGAGTACATAGGTCCGTAGAACCTATGTTGGTCTTCCTCATACCGATGTCTATCGGCCTCCCTGAGCTCCTCCAATCGTTGAAAGCCGGCTCTTTGCTCATCCTCCAATCTTTGAAAACCGGCTCTTTGCTCCTCCTCTAATCGGTTGAGCCGGTTGTCCATTTGGGTTATTCCCGTGAGCAGTTGTTGTTGACCCTCCAGAAGTTGTTGAAAGAAGTCGGGTGGTGGAGGGTTTTGGCTTTGTTCTGGGAAGTCCTGGCTCATAGTTGGATGGCTATGGAGTTGCTCATAGGGCTCGTAATCGGGTTGGTTTTGGGAGGTTCCTGTTCCGGTTCCTGGAGATGTGGTGGGAGGGCGTTTGGGAAGAGGTAATGTTGCTCCGCTCTTCCTGTTTTGAAGTGGAGTTGGGGGAGTTCTGGGTTGGGCAAGAGGAAGTATTTGAGGGGTTTAGGGTGGATGTGCCAGTTGTACATATTTCTGGGCCTTTCTTCACCATAAACGGTGTGTGAAAAAGATGTACAGTCCGAGTGGCCCAGCCAAGATATGTTCATCAAACAGTAGTCGGGTATAGGAGAGTCATCCGTATACCCGAACTTTGTGGCCAAGTGCATAATCACCCCGCCCACTACAATAGCACCCTTTGCCACACTTTCCTTTTTTAGATGTGCCCACATAAGATTACATAGGTTGAAATCTACGTGGATACGGAATAGGGCTACCGATATCAGGCACACATCCCCCATCCTAGTGTGATGGTTGTTGGGACGTCCAAGTAAGGAGTTGGCAAGGAATTTCAAAAAGATGCGTAGGACGGGATGTTGGACATGACTAATGTAGAGTTGGGAGGAGCTAAATTTAGTCTCCCCGGTCATCTTGGTCCATAGGGTGTGGCCGAAGGCGGTATTGTCGGATATAGATTTTTGGTACGGGACCGGAATACCAAAGTGTTCGGCGAACTCAAGTTTTGTGATGGTGTGATTGTGATTAAACAATCGAAACCTGAGTTTATAATCCCTAAAGTCCTCTTCATTGTTCTCAAAGTGCACAGAGCTTAGGAATTCATAGATAATTTTTTCATTTGAGTTGTATTGCATTTTGAAAATTTTATCCATGCTCAACTCATGAGTGCACCTAACGACGAGTGCACGTCAATGTTCTTCATGGAATGTAGATTATTTCTATCAAATTTCACTTTAAAACTCAGTCGGAAAGTTAGTTAAATACATTATTGAAAAATGATGCATTTTGTATATATATTTTGGCATAGTATTTTTCAATAATTTCTTTAACTAACTTTTGGAATGAATTTCAAGATGAAATTTGGTCTATATACTCTACACTTAATGAATAACATGCTTACAAATTCCACCAAAAAATTCCACCTGGAAGCTCCTGAAATGGATGCTCCGTACAGTGGTTCCGGTCATAAGGACCTGACAAGAACATTACCCCTAATAGTAGTACAACAACAACAACAAGCAACAACATCCCAGCCTTATTCCCTAAAGATTTTGGGGTCGGCTAACACAAATCGATCCATGCTATTACCCCTATAGTTGTAGTACTATTAAAAAATTAAAAATGGGGGGGGGGGGAGGCATCTCCTATAGGTACCTCCGTCCCTGCACGTCAATTGCATAATTCATCTAACGTACAATGACGATCCGATCTTCCCCATCTAAGTCTTGGTGTCCAATTGCATTTGTCAAGGGTCAATCACTCAATCCGAAGTTTATGATGTACAAAATCCTAAATTCTTATCATTACTTCTTCCTCATTATATTTCCTTTCCATAAATCCGGTAAGTACATTAGTCCCATAAGTGATAGAAGAAATGCATCAATTTTTTGTTGGTCAGTGAAACTAATATTTATGTTGTTTGGAGTGTAAGTATGATTACCTGTGGTTAAAGATCATCACATAAGTTGGAAGTTATATTACAATGTATTTCATTTTCTTTGTTGTACGCTGTCATAGCTATTGGTTGCATGTTTTTTGGTAGTCAAAACTTCTCTTTCAACTCTTCGGAATTTTTATTTTTAATTAAGGTACTGTCTGTTTGAAGTTTCTCATTCATAATTGGATGTATGCTGCTTCCCTTTTTTGTCCAGTGAAGGGAACCCTTGTAGAACCTGGAACCTAATGGTGGAGTTCTATTTTTCTGCTGTTAAATGTAGGAAAGAGGTGAGCACATTCCTCCTGAGGATTCCTTTGAAGTAGCCCGGAAAGTAAAAGAGATGTACTGTTACACATGTTCTGATGTGGTCAAGGTATTTTTATTGATATCAACCTCCATAATGGCCTTGGTAAAGGCAGCATTAAGGAAAACTGCATGGATGGCAGGATAGAAGTAATATAGCAAATAATATAGGTTACAGAGGAAAAATTAAAAGTCTTTCTCGTCCTTCCAATAGGCAATCACTCGCCCTTTTGTCTCCTTAGTTTTGAATAATGAAGTGTCTAAACCTATTTTTTAAAACTTTATTTAACAGTTCTTTATTTGATTAGTTATTTATTTATTCATTTATCTTTTTTTTTATAATGTATTTCTTCATACACACATATTTATCTATTTATTTTGATACATTTTACTTGAGATAATGTATATTTTTATAATGTATTCCTTCACACACACATCTATCTATAATGTAGTTTACATTTAAGCTACACCTATATAGTTATATGCACTTACATTTGTATGATTAAAGTTTTTTTTTACTCCAGGGGGGTCTGGGTTGGGGGTTGGGGGGCCTGGAGTAATCAGGGCTGAAACTCACTCCATTGAATTTCAAACCTTTGTGTACCTAGCGGGCTTCGAACCCGAGACCTCCCACTAGGCACGCTAACCTCACAACCAACTGGGCTGGAATGCTTGGTTTGTATGATTAAAGTTAATTGTGCAATATTTGAACTTAGCAAGCATTGATTTATTGTCAGAAATTTGATACGGTTAATGATGAGTTATAGTAATGAGATCTATGTCCTGATTTCAGGAGTTCAATAAGCATGACAAAGAGCCATCAAAGTATGTTAAGCAGTGGAGAGGTACAAAGCCCAAAACAGGGGCACCTTATTCTTGTGATGTTGGCTATGAACGATTCCTTGGTCCTGAGGTTTGTTCTAATATTATACAGTATCTTGAATGTTTTGACTGTTTTGTTTTACTACTCACTAGATATCAAACATATAATTCTACAGTTAATAATGTTTTATACATCCTCCCTCAATCCACACTTCAAAAAAGATTGACATTGGTAAATGCAGTTTGGAATGGGGGTAGGTCTGGGAGTGGCTGGGTTGTAATAGGTTGTGATTTGTGAGTTAATAGACTCATATAAGATGTTATAAACATAAATTCTTGATTTCTATTCAGGTTTTCTTCAATCCCGAGATGTACAGCAGTGATTTCTCTACTCCTCTTCCTGCTGTAATAGATAAGTGTATTCAGTCGGCACCGATAGACACAAGAAGAGCCCTGTACAAGGTGAAGTAAATACTTTGATAAATTGAATCAGGACTATGTTCAAGAATAATTTCTTTTGTGGCATGTAAAATTGATTCTTATCTAATAGGGCTTGGTAGGGTTGTAATTAGTTAAACCAATGAGGTGATAATGTAATCTGTATACTAGCCCTATTAATGAAAATGCCTCAGAAATCCAAATTAAGCTTTTAGGGTCCGTTTTACCTGTTCAAATTCCTTCATACTGGCTTACAGCATATATTGTAGCTTGTTATAAATTATAATAGTATGCACAATTTTCAGAATATTGTATTGTCTGGTGGATCAACCATGTTCAAAGATTTCCAGAGAAGATTGCAACGCGATTTGAAAAAGATAGTTGATGCTCGTGTTCTTGCATCAAATGCCCGATTGGGTGGAGAAATAAAAGTCAGACTTTTTTCCTTCCAGTTATTTTATGACTTTAAAAATTGCTAAATGCACTGTTTTTAGTAAGTGTGGTAAAAAACATTAATTTTTAAGAGACCTAATGGAACATTTCACTGTTAGGCACAGCCAGTGGAAGTGAATGTGGTCAGCCATCCAATACAGAGATATGCAGTTTGGTTTGGAGGCTCTGTGCTTGCATCCACTCCTGAATTTTTTGCAGTACGTGTCAATGTCATATTGATATAAATGTTTATTTTGATTATTATGCTATATTTTATTTGAAAATTACACTTGTACTCTATTCTTTTACCTATTGCCTCAGGTTTGAGTATCAGGATTCATGATGTATATACTGGTTAACTGGTGTAGTAATTGACTTTGCATGCTTTCTTCTTCTGGTCCTGGAAACAAAATGTTCAAATTATAATCATGTTCTGAATTAATCATAATCCACATACATGTTTTACTTGAGTAAAACAAGAATTTAGATTTACTGTCTTGAGCGCAGAAAACAATTAATCTAATCCAGATAACACGGCCAAAACAAAAGCTACACATGTTCCGATCTATATATGACATTCGTTGCTCACCCGTGGTTGATCCTAATCTGGATTCTGTTCTTGCAATTTCCCAAGCACATTCTTAGTCCCTAAAGTCTTCTATGGTGCATACTTTAGGTACATGTTGGTTTTTAAAAAAATTGCTAACTCAATAAATAGTTGAAGATGGTGTCATTCATTTAGGTTTGTAATGTCTGAGAAACTATTTATGAAGACTCCTGCATTTAGGTGATGCTTATGTGCATAATCATGCATTTCAGTTCTCCATCTGGACTGGTATGAACTAGCTATAGCCTATAAGCATCTTGTTTACTACTGCAGGCTTGCCATACAAAGGCAGAGTACGATGAGTATGGAGCCAGCATATGCCGCACAAACCCTGTATTCAAGGGAATGTATTGATAATACTTTGTCCCTTATATTCACATGAGAGTTGGTTTCTTTGAATTCTCAATCCGGAGCTGCCTTCTTTATGCTGCCGGCTGGTTAAAGGTGGTGTAGATACTAGAAGGTAGACTAGTCACTAGTTGGTTCTTGCCTTAACAGAAACCCCTCCTTTCATGGAAGCTCTCACTGAAAAGAAAAAAATGTTTTAGAGTAAGATAATACTGGTTTTTCTTTTAAATGATTTATATTCTTATAGAGGTATAGAGTCGTAGTTTTGGTCTCTTCAAAAAGTGCAATGCAACGTGATACCTCTGCGCTTGTGTGTATCAACAGAGAAATGAGTAGTCATTTTCTCGCGAAAGCTTTGCAGACAGAAGTTTTTTTTTGTTTCAGTTAGAGTGCTGGATTACTGATGCAATATGTAGCTGGTGAATTTAGGACTAGTGATATGAAATGCACTTTGATCCTTCAACTAAATCTTGGGATATCAATGTGATTTTTGTGCAGTATACCCAATTACTACAAGTTTTGTTTATTTAGATCTACTTATGACACGTTTTAGTCTTTATAGTCTTGATAATAGCATTGCATCGAGTTCAAATATGAGTCAATGACCAGCTTAAGTAATAACCTGTTGTCAGGAGATAAAATCATAGTCATACATTGGGACGTTGGGTACACACTCTAACAAGAATGCTAGCATTTGATGTTGCTATAAACTATTATTGGATCAGCCAATGCCACTGATCAACCCCGGTCAGTGACCACTTCAGTTCAGTGATCACTGCCCGACAGTGACATAACTCTGATGCCGTAGTGATTGCCCGATGTCTCCAGTGACCTAAATGACTGGCTGCCCCAGCATCCAGTGACTCCCGTGACTGATCTTCGGGTCACTGACCAAGTGATCATAGCCCCCAATTAACCGCCATCTCCACCTTCATCCCTGTCCCTTTCCTACCATCTGTCCTACCCTGCTCCAACCACTGCCCCTCCCAATTTCCACACCAGACCCTGATGTTAATGGAATTATGGAAATATGTACAAAAGAGAACATTATAACTCTATTGTATGTATTTCCAAATATTAGAGTACTGAGGTATTTATAATGTTTAGAGCGACTCCAAATCAATCATACTCCGTATAAGATAATAAAGAATCAACAAGAATAGTTGATCTTTTTTAGTGTGAAGATAACAACTTATAAAACAAGCAAGTGATCATTATGTATTATTTTCAAAAAATGTATAGCGTATTTTGAACAAAATGGTACACCATTTTACCATCTTGGTCGTTTCCCCTTGACTGTTTTAGTCTCGGTTAAGTGGTTAACCATTTGAGAAAATGGTGAGACCGGTTTAGTCAATCAAACTATCAAAGCACAACAACATTTTTTTAAAACGCTCTTGAATCTTGATATAGCAATGGATCAGAGTCATCAGACTAGGGATGGATTCGGTTCGGGCCACCCGGCCCGGCCCGGTACTGTGCGGGCCCGGGACCGGCCCGGTTCGGGCGGTCCGGGACCGGGTATGGGCCCGAACCGGTGGGAAGGGCGGGGCGGGCTCGGTTCAGCATTTTTGTGACCCGGCCCGGCCGGGTCGGGCCCGGGTCCGGTCCAATTTAAAAAAAAAAAAAAAATTTGTTTGGGCTCCTACTAACCGTTGGGGGTGGGGCTGGGGACAACCCAAACGGCTATATAGCCGTTGGGTGGGGTAAAGGGGGGGTCCGGGGGGGTTGGGTGGTGGGGGGGGGGTTGGTGGGGGGGGGGTGGGGGTAAAAAAAAACCTATAAATACTCCTAATCTTAAACATTTTTTCATATCTCTTCTCCAATTCTTCCTATTCTTATCTCTCTACTCTCTAATTCTCTTATTCTCCAATATATTATATATCTACTCTCATATTCTCTTCTCCAAGAAGTTAAGATGGAAAATCAAAATGCCATTATACGGTATAATTTTGATAAGCAGAAGGACCCGAAGACCGGGATGTGGTACGCAATTTGCAAATGTTGCGAAAAAAAATGTATAATGGGGGCTTCAGGCGGATTCGGGATGGCAATCAAGCATATGAAGTCATGTGACAAAGCCAAAGGATCGGGAGGTGCAGGAAGTTCCGATTGATTACAATTTTCAAAATGTTTATCTCTTATATGTAGTTCCTATTTCATTTCAAATAAATGCAATTGAAGTTTGTTTTTAATACTCGTATAAAACTATAAACTATAAATATAAATTAAAAAAAAAACGGCCCGGACCGGACCCGACCAGTGACCCGGGCGGGTGGCCCGGCCCGAACCGGACCCGTCCAACCCGCGGGCCGGTCCCGGGCCCACTTTTCTTGAACCGGCGGCCCGACCGGGCCTAGGCCCGGCCCGAATCCATCACTACATCAGACCATTAACCTTGGACCATATTGAAGGACTATTTGGTATTTTGGTTAAGTGAATTTAAAGGTTGCAATTAATAAAACAAAAAACAACAGGGAATCTTAATCTGGATAATCTAGCAAAACGTCAAAATCCATGGCGTTATTGAAATTTATTTCCTTCACTTATATTTTGATGAATTTTATCTTGCAATAGAAGAAGTATTATCACAGGACGGAGTCAGGTTGTCAGGGGGTTCAAGGTGGTCAGCCGACCTCCTAAAAGGTCGAGAATATAGAGCATTGAAATACATTCAATTTGATAAATTATTATTCTCATAACACATTACGATTTACGAGTAAAAGAATTAAGACTTTGAATATCACAATTATCTAAATTTGAAATTAGTAAACTTTGATGTGTACTATTGTTTATATTGTCAAATTTTAAAAATACATCTAATTCATTCATTCCTTGTGTGAAGTTAATTTATAATTGGCATATATGTCAAAATTATAACTCTACTAGTCTCATTTAAACAACTATTTATCTAAGTTACATGTGAAACATTCAATTCATGTGTGTTTAAAAATGGTCACCTTTTTATTCTGTATCTAGTTAAGTTTCGATCCTCGTAAATCAATTCTGATTTCGCCACCTATCACCACAAAGTTTTTTAAACATGGAAACAAGTCCTAGAGTAATTGTTTGAACTTTGAAGCGCTTCAACGTAACCCAATATCTTGAAAAACATATTAATTACGATTTTGATCTGGACAGTAATATTAATGACGCTTCAACCCCGCCAAAGTGAATAAAGAAACGATAAGAGGAGCGAGAGTCGTCCTAAGCGGCGAGCTCCCCAGCAATCAGATCTCCTAGTCTTCACCTCTACGATTGTCAAGAGTTCGACGATGGCAACATTCTCTGAGGCAATAATGAATCAAAGGGTTTTCTATGCTTTCACTCTTTTTTATTTCTACCTTCTAGGGTCTTGGTCCAATTTGTTCTTCGACTGAAAGTTTTGTCCGCTTCAGGTGAGCGTGAGATATGTGCGTCTCCTAGTAATGTTTAGAGACTATGTATTCGTCATTGGTGTAACCAGTCGAGTGATGTATTACTTCCCTTCTCTTGAACCACCACCTCACTCCCAGAGAAAGTTAGCGCTCAAGTAGATATCATTTTGATGGTTAGTTAAACTAGTGATTCAACCAATTTTTGTTCGACTGAGTTTCTTTTATTGGTTATTGTTTAATTCAATTATCCTTTTCTGTTACACTAAAAAAATTATCCTTTTCTGGTGACGGATAAAGCCGGATCTTTATTTGTAATGTTTTATTATTTCTTTAAAATAGCAATTACAGTAAGACCGATAAACTAGGATTCATACATTTTTTGCTTTCTATATCTATCTCATTCTCATTGTAGTCTTAGTTATTCATTCACTTATTTCTTTGTTTTCATTTTATGAATGAATTAACTACCCATGTTTGTTTAAAAAACAATAGCATGAGTAACAATTTATCATTCTATGCAAGTTTTTGTCAATTTCCATTGTCCCATAAATCTATCATTTACTATATTCCTCCCCAGATAAATAGCAAATACAAAATAAATTTTACTTGACCAGCGATTGTACGAATCGGAAGAAAGGTTAGAGAGACGAGGAGAAAGGAGCTGACTTTCGGCTGCTGGAGGGAAAGAGAAGAAGCGTAAGAGAAACTACTGCAACTTTACTGATGTTCGATCATTTTCATGTATTTCATCGCGAGGATAAACCTAGAACTAAGTCAAATCTATTTCTCTTGAGAATTTTCGTATGTTTTTGCTCATTTTACTAATTTATCCATCGGAGGTCTGGTAATATTGTTTTGCAATTCTCCTTTCAGCTCTTATGTTGTAGTTGTCGAATAAAAATTCAATTTTTGAATTTGAATGGAGAGACATATGTATTGGAAGAATGTAGTCGTGATTTTTGCAGCTCACATTCTGTGTTATTTTTCCTCGATGTGGGAGCTGTAGATTTTTACAGGGGATATTGTTCCTAATTGTACGATCTGGTTCATACGTTTATTTGATCTGCAAGAATTTGTCCATCTCTTTGGTTGTAACATGTAATATCATACATTTTCTTTTCACCTGAAATTTGATATGTAATCGCATTATTTCCAAGCGTGCAATTCAATACTCATATCTTTGCGAACTCAGAAGTACTTTGGTGTTCTTTTCTGCTTGGGTTTGCCTTAATTTCCGGTGACACTAAAGCACATGAGGATGTGAAATTAATTATCAATTTTAAATGATTTCAAATAGGCGGAGATAAATAGTCCTCACTGCTAGTTAACATAAATGGATCCTACAACTGATGATCAATTAGATTTTGATGACGAGGAGTATGGAGAAAGCCAAAAGATGCAGTATCATGGAGGTGGAACTATACCTGCACTTGCAGAAGAGGAAATGATGGGTGAAGACGACGAGTATGATGATCTTTATAATGATGTTAATGTGGGAGAGGGTTTTCTTCAGATGCAGCAGTTTGATGCACCAAAACCTCCAGATTTTGTGGGAAATGGAGTATCCCCAGCTCCGGAAAATGATACTAATGAACCAAGAGTTGATGCTATAACTTCTCCAGAAATGAAGCCCGGTGTACCCAGTACTGGGCTGCGGTTTCCTGAGCAAAAGAGCCGGTCTACGGCTGAAAGGGGTCCTGATCAAACTGATGCTTCTGAAAAGGCAAGGCCTCCATCAATGACTAGTGATGCTCAAGTTGGTGGTAACATGACATTTCAATCATCATCGGTTCGAATACCTCACGGAGCCAGTTCTGACCCTGTTCATGATTTGTCGGGCAAAGTTACCAATGAGTCATTGCCGTTGTTGAGTTCTGGTGCAGGTGGTGGTGGTAGTTCAAGAGCTGCTCCATTGATGCCAGCACATCAAATGAGTTCTAATGCTGACGCGAACAGCCCTATGATCAATGAAAACCATATAAGGCCAGCCATAGAGAATGGAAATACAGTGCTTTTTGTGGGGGAGTTGCACTGGTGGACAACTGATGCTGATATTGAGAGTGTGCTGATTCAATATGGGAAAGTGAAAGAGATTAAATTCTTTGATGAAAGAGCAAGTGGTAAATCCAAAGGTTACTGTCAAGTAGAATTTTACGATCCCGCTTCTGCTTCTGCCTGTAAAGATGGAATGAATGGACACATTTTCAATGGCCGAGCTTGTGTGGTGGCATTCGCTACTCCTCATACAATAAAGCAGATGGGTGCTTCTATTATAAACAACAAAACCCCAACTCAAGTTCAGACTCAGCCACACCAGGGAAGGAGGCCCATGAATGAAGGACTAAACAGAGGCAGCGGGACAAGTTTCCCCAGTGGAGATACAGGGAGGAATTTTGGTAGGGGTGGGTGGGGACGTGGGGGACAGGGAATGCCAAACAGAGGTCCTGGTGGTGGGCCTGGAAGGGGAAGAGGTGGTATGGGCTCAAAGAATATGATGGGTGGTAATGTACCTGGAGTCAATGCTGGCATGGGCATTGGAGCTTATGGACAGGGCCTTGCGGGTCCTGGTTTTGGTGGTCCTCCTGGAATCATGCATCCACAGGGAATGATGGGTCCTGGGTTTGATCCTGGGTACATGGGCCGGGGAGCTGGTTATGGAGGCTTTTCAGGCCCTGGTTTTCCGGGGATGCTTCCTCCGTTTCCCACTATTAACCCTATGGGGCTCACCGGGGTGGCTCCTCATGTAAACCCTGCCTTCTTTGGCCGTGGGATGGGAATGATGGGTGGTACAACAGGAATGGATGGTCCTCATCAAGGAATGTGGACTGATACAAGCACAGGTGGTGGGTGGGGAGGAGGGGAAGAGCATGAAAGAAGGACCAGGGAGTCAAGTTATGGTGGTGAAGACAATGCGTCTGAATATGGGTATGGAGATGCCAGTCATGACAAAGGGGGGGCAAGGTCGAGTGCTGCTTCTAGGGAGAAAGAGCGAGCTTCAGAACGTGACTGGTCGGGCAACTCTGAGAAGAGGAATCGTGATGAAAGAGTAGATAATGACAGGGACAGGTATGATAGGGAGCACAGATACAGGGAAGAAAGAGATGGTTACAGGGATTACCGCCATAAAGAACGTGAAGTGGATTATGACAATGACAGAGGTCACTCTTCAAAATCTCGAAGCAGATCCCGAGCAGTGCAGGATGAGGATCATAGATCTTCTCGTTCGAGGGATGCTGATTATGGGAAGCGGAAAAGGCTTCCATCCGAGTGACATAGTATTTGTCAAATAAATACTCTGTTATGGAAGTGTTTTCCAGGATGTCTTAGCTGGAGTGCTGGACTCCTATAACCAAGTCCACAATATTATTCTCACAACATTCCTCTGCAGACTGCTTGAAAGGGTTGCGGTTCTTCTCCCTAAATTTAATGAAGTAAGAATTTAGCCTAACTTTCATTCTATTTACGAACTTGAATTGGTTGAAAACATTACATTTGTGCTAAGATCCTGAGCTTATTAGGTCTCTGTGGTATTTTCGTAGTGTGTGTTGGGACTTGGAGCTCTTTGTTGCTCGCTGCTAGTCTTATCGGTCATTAAGGCATTTCTAGTTCCATCAGCTCTTTTAAGCTGCATTAGTCTTCACCGCTTTTGAAAATTGAGACACTTGGAACCTTGTTATATATTGTTATGTATTTTGATTTGCTTTTTTTTTTTTGCATTCACCTTTGCTTCACGAAGAAAAGGGGTTTTAGGAACTCTTTATTTGTTATTGCCTGGCTTTAAGGGGGTAATGCTGTGAATGGTGTGATATCTTACCCAGTCTGTGTGATATATGCTCGTGTGAATGATGTGAAGTTTGAATCTTCATATCTGCTATTTTAATGATCCATTCCTTTGTCCATTCTATTTTTTATGTTAAGTGGTCATAGCATACAACATTTTTATATGGATCATATAAGATTTCGGTTCCTAGTAGTGTAATGTTTTGATATGGAAAGAAGAAGCTCATTATTACTATCATTATTATTATTCATTATTATTAGTTTCCGAAAGTAAGTTTCCTAAAGTATTGAATGTTAGTTTCCTAAAGTAAGTTTCCTAAAGTATTAGGTGTTAGTTTCCTTTTTTTTGGATAAAATGTAAAAAGGTGTTAGTTTCCTAAGACCTTTGGAGATATTCTAGGTCCTTTTTTAGGTAGGGAAATGGAAACTAATAATCCAACCTTTTAGCGGTCTTCTTACAATAGTCTCACCTTTTCATTATTCATGAATAATCCAACCTTTACACCCCATCTTCATTCACTGGTCCCTGACCGATTTATGACCTGTTATTCCAAGTTATTTTCTTATCTTTGTAAAACATTATACCATAATTCCCACCTTATGATCACATAATGTCTTGCAAAGATAGAAAATAACTTGGAATAACAGGTCATAAATCGGTCAGGGACCAGTGAATGAAGATGGGGTGCAAAAGTTGGATTATTCATGAACAATGAAAAGGTGGGACTATTGTAAGAAGACCACTAAAAGGTTGGATTATTAGTTTCCATTTTCCCTTTTAGGTATTAGGTGTTAGTTTCCTAAGGTTATTATTAGTTGCAGTTTCCTATTAGTAGAGATATTCTATTTTAGTTAATTTCCTAATAAAAGTATTGTAATAGAATTAGGGTTTACTCTAATACTAGACCACCAAAGACCCTTGGGACTAGTATAAATAGAGGTGTCATATTAATGAATAAAATCATCAATCTTCTGGAGAATAATTCTTCTTGTGCGCTTGGTGGAACCGACGGACACTTCCTTGCCTAGGGGGGGTTCCAACTATCATAATTATCGTTCTTCTTTTTTATCTCCCAACCACCGCCTGTAACATGTTTTTCCTGGTTTAGTTCTAATGGGTTAAAACCAGAATATGTTTCTACTAACCTACTAACTTGTGGCTTTTTAGGGACGAGCATTCTTATAGTGGATTTTTGGGCTCTGTATTTTACTATTTATAGGTGATAGGTCTCTTGTTCGTGACAGTGCATTTACTATTTAATTGTGATGTTTGTGCATGCGAGCATACATAGTGTCAAGTTTGGGAGTTGGGTCGTGGAGTGTTTTGGAAGGGAGGGTGTGTTAGGGCCAAACATATATCTTTAACAAGAACTGAAGCAATGTCATTGTAGAAAAATGTAGCATATACATGTTATTTTATTATGTGTACATCCGGAACTGTATAGATAGGAATTAGAGTTGATTTAGGGCTCTAACTCTTAGATTAGCTCGCAGTGTAGATAAGAATAGATAGATCCTAATATTTAGGATCTGTAACAAACCTTAGTTTATCTGTAATCTTGTATATATATCATTGCCGGATGGCTCAATAATACAAGGAAGATTAATACTTCAAACCTACATGGTATCAGAGCTTCGGTTTAAACAATGGTAGAAACCAGTGAAGCTGATTCCTCACACACTATCAATCCTAACTCCCAAATTAGCTCTATGACAAATTACCAGTCTCCTATTCATTCATCTATGATAATCACTAGTCATAGATTGAATGGAACAAACTATCTGGAGTGGTCTCAATCTGTCAGACTTGCAATTGATGGGAGGGGAAAGTTGGGTTACATCACAGGAGAAATCCAACCAAAACTACCTGCAGAAGAAGGGTACAGTACATGGAGGTCAGAGAATTCACTCATAACAGCTTGGCTTCTCAACTCCATGGAGCCCTTAATTGCCAAACCTCATATGTTTATGAAAACTGCAAAGGAGGTATGGGATTCTATTAAGGAAACTTATTCAGACCTTGAGAACTCTTCTCAAATTTTTGAACTCAAAACCAAACTGTGGCAATCCAAACAAGGAAATAGGGATATTATTTCATACTACAATGAAATGGTATCTCTGTGGCAAGAATTAGATCAATGCTATGATGATGAAGAGTGGGAGAGTGCTAAGGATCTGGCCAGACATAAGAAAAAAGAAGAGAATGATAGGGTCTATATGTTTCTAGCAGGGATCAATAGGGACCTAGATGAAGTTAAGGGGAGGATACTTGGAAAAAAACCTCTACCCTCTATCAGGGAGGTATTTTCTGAAATCAGGATGGAGGATAGCAGGAAGAAGGTCATGTACAACACCCCAGCACCTAATGAGGAACCTGGGGAATCTTCAGCTTTGGTGGCCAGAAGTGATGACAACAAGAAAAAACCTTGGTGTGATCACTGCAAGAAACTGTGGCACACAAGGGATACATGCTGGAAACTCCATGGAAAACCACCAGGAGCTGGGAAGAAGAAAGTAGAAAGGGCCCTACAAACTACTCTGACTGAGACTCAACAAGAGGCAGGAGTTGAACCTAAACAGCTACCATTCACTCAGGAACAGATAGAGTACCTACTAAAATTCATACCCACCCAGAAAATCTCCAACCAAGAAAACCCTACCTGTTCTTTTGCCCAAAATGGTAAAATAACATCATATTTTTGTTCTGAAAAACCTAAAAACACCTGGGTCATTGACTCAGGTGCAACAGACCACATGACCTACATTCCAAAGTTTTTTTCTTCTTATCAACCTTGTGCAGGAGATAAGAAAGTTAGAGTTGCAGATGGCTCTTTTTCAGCCATAGCAGGGATGGGAAATATTAAAATTTCCTCATCCATTAACCTTTCCAAAGCCTTACATGTTCCTAAACTTTCCTGCAATCTTATCTCTATTAGCAAAATTACTAAAGATCTTCAGTGTTGTGTAAAATTTTTTCCCTCTTATTGCATTTTTCAGGATCTGGCATCAGGGAAGATGATTGGCAGTGCTAGAGAGGAGGATGGCCTCTATACTTTTGATGAAGGAACACAATTGAATAAACAAGGTCAAGAAAAAACTTGTTTGCAAACTGTTTTTCCTTGTAATAATGAAGTGTATTTAATGCACTATAGATTAGGTCACCCAAGTTTTTCCTATCTGAAAATGTTGTTTCCTAAGTTATTTCTTAATAAAAATCCTTCATCATTTCATTGTGATATGTGTGCACTTGCCAAACATCATAGGAGTTCTTACATCCCTCATAGTTACAAACCAACCAGTCCTTTCACTATTGTACACAGTGATATCTGGGGTGCATCTAGAGTTTCAACTCTGAAAGGAAAAAGGTGGTTTGTAACTATCATAGATGATCACACAAGGGTCACATGGGTGTTTTTACTTAAAGAAAAATCTGAGATTGAAGAGGTGTTCAAACAATTTTACTCAATGATCCAAACTCAATTCAACACTAATATCAAAATTGTGAGAAGTGACAATGGACTTGAGTACTTTTCTAAGAAGTTAAATACTTTTTTTGCTGAAAAAGGGATTGTTCATCAAAGTTCCTGTGTAAATACACCTGCTCAGAATGGAATAGCTGAGAGGAAAAATAGACATTTACTTGAAGTCACTCGTGCAATTATGTTTTCTGCTAAAATTCCAAAATATTTATGGGGAGAAGCTGTTTTACATGCTACCTATCTAATTAATAGGATGCCATCAAAAACTCTAGGATTCAAAACTCCTATTGATACTCTTCAAGCTTGTTTTTCTGAAACTAGACTAATTAATTCTCTTCCCATAAAATTTTTTGGGTGCACAGTTTTTATTACCAATCCTGACAGAACTGCAAGTAAATTTGACCCTAGAGGGAAAAAATGTGTTTTCTTAGGACTCTCTTCAACTCAGAAAGGCTATAAATGTTTTGACCCTATAACAAAAAAGATGTTTATAACTATGAACACTGTTTTTGTAGAAGATCAACCTTTTTTTGGTACTCATCTTCAGGGGGAGATTCCTAATGAAGATGGTAATAATGTATCACATATCCATGAAAAACTAGAACCTCTTGACATTAATCTAGATGCACAGTATGATAGACAGTTAGATGCACTAGAAAATAGTCAAGAGTCAAAAGAAAATGATTTTTTTTTTCTGAAACAAGGAAAGATGATGAACAGCAGACAAGTAAGTTTTTTGGCAAGGTTTATGAAAGGAGAGTTCCAAATCACAGAATAGAGGACATCCCTGATCCTGCCATTGTCCATGAATCTGACTCAATGCCAGAAAATGACAAAGGTAATAATTTCAGTGATCTAAATCTACCCATTGCTCTCAGAAAAGAAAAAAGGTCATGTGTTAAATACCCTATCTCAAACTATCTGTCCTATTCTCAGTTATCTACATCATTTGCAGCCTTTACCTCTAGCCTTTCCACTGTCTCTATTCCCTTAACCATACAGGAAGCCCTATCTATACCTGAGTGGAAGAAGGCTGTTTTAGAAGAAATGAATGCCCTTGAAAAGAATCAGACATGGCAGACTGTAGAGGTACCCAAAAACAAACCAAGGGTTGGATGCAAATGGGTGTTTACCCCTAAATTCAAGGCAGATGGTACACTTGAAAGATATAAGGCCAGATTGGTTGCCAAAGGATACACACAGACCTATGGCATAGATTATACAGAAACTTTTGCACCAGTTGCAAAATTAAATACTATAAGGATCCTACTATCTCTAGCTACTAACCTAGACTGGCCTCTTCAACAGTTAGATGTGAAGAATGCTTTCCTAAATGGGAAGCTTGAAGAGGAAGTATACATGAGCCCTCCTCCTGGGTTTGAGGAACAATATGGCTCAAAGGTGTGCAAGCTAGAGAAAGCCTTATATGGGCTTAAACAGTCCCCAAGGGCTTGGTTTGAAAGGTTTACTCAATTCATAAAGAAGCAGGGATTCAAGCAAGCCCAAGCAGATCATACACTATTCATGAAATTCTCCATTAAGGGAGAAATTGCAGTACTAATTGTTTATGTGGATGATATAATTCTTACAGGAAACTATTGTGAAGAGATTGAAGACCTGAAGAAGAAGCTTGCTCAGGAATTTGAAATCAAAGACCTGGGAGAATTGAAGTATTTTCTTGGCATGGAGATAGCCAGATCAAAGAAGGGAATTGTGGTATCCCAAAGGAAGTATGTACTAGACCTACTTCATGAAACAGGTATGAGTGCCTGCAGACCAATAGATACTCCAATTGACCCTAATCAAAAGTTAGGAAATGTCAAGGAAGGAGTACCGGTTAATATTCACCAATATCAAAGATTGGTCGGAAGGTTGATTTATCTGGCACATACAAGGCCAGATATTGCCTTTGCAGTCAGTATGGTTAGTCAGTTCATGCATAATCCATTCCAAGAACACCTAGATGCTACCTACAGGATCCTAAGATATTTGAAAAGTTGTCCAGGGAAAGGATTATTTTTTAAAAGAAGTGACAATAGAAGTGTAGAAGCCTTTACAGATGCAGATTATGCTGGGTCAATAACTGATAGAAGGTCTACATCTGGGTATTGTACTTATGTATGGGGGAATCTGGTGACTTGGAGGAGTAAGAAGCAGAATGTTGTTGCCAGAAGTAGTGCAGAATCTGAATTTAGATCTATGGCTAATGGAATCTGTGAACTACTTTGGATCAAGAGAATGATGACAGAGTTGAATATGGAAATGGACCTACCTATGAAGTTATATTGTGACAATAAAGCAGCCATTAATATTGCTCACAATCCTGTGCTACATGATCGTACTAAACACATTGAGGTGGACAGGCATTTTATCAAAGAGAAGATTGAAGCTGGAATTGTGTGCACACCATTCATATCTACTAAAGAGCAGACAGCTGATATCTTTACAAAGGGGCTGTTTAAACCAGTGTTTGAATTTCTTATAAGCAAGTTGGGAATGTATGATATATACTTACCAACTTGAGGGGGAGTGTAGAAAAATGTAGCATATACATGTTATTTTATTATGTGTACATCCGGAACTGTATAGATAGGAATTAGAGTTGATTTAGGGCTCTAACTCTTAGATTAGCTCGCAGTGTAGATAAGAATAGATAGATCCTAATATTTAGGATCTGTAACAAACCTTAGTTTATCTGTAATCTTGTATATATATCATTGCCGGATGGCTCAATAATACAAGGAAGATTAATTCTTCAAACCTACAGTCATTATCTGTAATAATGAACCATTTCAATCACCCTATATTTGTTTATCAGAAACATTCTTTCTATCAAGGTAATGACTAAGCCCTCTAATGTCTTCCCCTCCAAAGATTTCTTTTTCTGGGCCATTTTAAATGAGGAGCATCTTCTAGGTATTACTACCTCCGTCCCACTAATATTGGGACGGAAGGGGGTGACACGGTTATTAAGAAAAGTAGATTTGATTTTGAGCCACACAACTTTACCAAATTTTAGTTTATTTGGTTGATATTTATTGATGGAGTAAGAATAAAGTAAGAATGATTTAGAGCCAGTGAGCCACGCAAACTTACCAAATTTGGTATGGGACAATTTTAGTGGGATTTCCCGAAAAGGTAAAATGGGAGAATATTAGCGGGACGGAGGGAGTATATGTTAAACTATGTCTGCTTTTTTTAAAAGGTCTATAAAAGCTGTTAACCTCCGCTCATTCTTTTGTTTGAAGCTGGGGATGTTACTTTTGCCTTTATCTTTTCAAATATATATATATGTGTCATGTCAATAGTGAATCCCCTTTGATGAATTTTGACATGAGAATTTTTCTTTTACCCGTATTCAGGGAGCAGAGAGGCAACTCTTTGTTTTCATATCTAAACCCGCATAAGTTGGTTACATGGAGGAAGATGAGTTAACTTGGCTGAATTCCATTACAAGTCCTTGTGTTATAGCCATATTTTGTTTTACTTGTAAAATCTATATATATGGTTTCCTCCCCTCCATGAAAACTTGTAGAAAACAAACCGTGATATGGCCTGTTATTGGAGAAGTTTTGCCTCGAAATAGGGATGGGTCTACCCATCTACTTCCATACATTCCTTTTTTAGCTGTTCTGGAAAACTCTTTGTACTGTTTCCCATACATGTAACTGTTCAAGTCCAAATTTGTGCCTTTGTAGTACCAGCCTGTAAGATTTTTGTGTATCGTCTGAAGTTATATTTTCAGCTTTAGGGTAGTCAGATTGAACTGTTGTATGCTCAATATTGTGTTGTAAATTTAAGCAAGTAGCATTATAGTGGAATGATACCCGTCTTGCCATGGAACTTATGAGTCTATGAGCTTTAAGACACAACCAACAGAAAGTACATTCTCAGTGAGCTATCTGATGAGCGGCTTTATTGGGCATGGTTGCATATTGCATCTGTATTTCTCAATCTGTTCCGATGACCAGGAGTGATGTGTAAATGAAATGTAATAAGATTCCAATATTAGGACTTATATCTCTTGTATTGTAATCAGTTCATACATTTGTTGTAACTTGTAAAGTACACGGATTTTGTAGTTAGATCATAATATCACTGTGTAAAACTCCAATGTAAGTATGTAAAACCGACCAGAGGGTTGATGTCCACAGATATTCTTTTTTCTCTCTCGGAATGTCATCTTTGTATCGTTTGAAGGCTTATTTTACTAGGAGTTATATGTAATTGTTTTTTACCCCCAACCCCAAAGTATATTTCAAGGGTGCTTAGCAAAAAGGTACTCCATAGTTCTAATTCTGATTCTAATAATCACATTTGGAATTTGTGTTGCGTGGGGAACTCGTTAGTTAACTCAAAAGTGTTTGGATTTGATTATGAGAGAATTATAGTGAAGTGGAATAGTGGATGTTAGATGCTGTTGTGATGCGATTTATTGAACATGATAACTAGAAAGAAAGTGATAATCTTGACCTGGGATTAGATTCATTGGGTGAGCTGCGTCTGGTATGAATCAGTTTCACGGCCCAAGAATCACATTCTGAATTATGTCAATGTTCATTAGGAATTGGTTCTTGTAATTTCTGTCTTTGGAGCCAAAGAATCAGTTATACAAAAGTTTTGAGTATCATTTTATGTGCACCTCGGGGCATCACCTTTGCTTTACACCAAATGATGCCCTTTAGTTGGAACTGTGAATGTGATTTTACTTTCCTTTATTTCTCTCTGTGGAGACTTGGGAGATTATTGTAGTCACTTCTTATCCATAGGCATTTTCAGTCTTCTTTTATTGTTTCCTGCAAATTTCCGCATTGACTAAGCGCTGCTCTTTACCCATTTTCAGCTTCACATTATTGGTGCCTAGAGATGATATAAGGATTGAACATTTGAAGTTTTGAACCCATAGAATCTAACCTCAAGTCTTTTGTTGGTCTATTATTTTAATACACAATGTTTTGTTTGCGAAATTTGGCTTTGGTCTTGCATTTAATTGATAAATGAGTAGGAACAACTCGTGGATGGTACAATTTGACATAGGGGTGGACCCGGTTGGCTGTCCCGGGACTAGACCGAAACCGGGTCCATGCCTAATTTGACGTGTAAATTGTTAGCACCGACATTTTTAGTAACATATTTGAATTTTTCAGAAATTAGGTTGCATTTGATCATGGGCTATTATTTTAATAAAACTTCAATAAAAACTCCATTTTTTAATGTACTGATACCGAATAACTCTCCAGTTTTTTCCAGTATCTACTTTAAAATTTAGCTAGAATATTTTCAAAATAGAATAATCTTTTAGTATTTAAACAATCACTTAAAGAATTGTGATGTCTAGGGATGGACTCGGTTCGGGCCGGGCCCGATTCGGGCCTTGAACCGGCCAGGCCTCGGTTCAAGGTATGGGAGCCTCGGAACCAGTCCGGGTAACCCTCGGGTCCGGGCCGGGTCTCGATTCTATTTTTTTTTTTTGGCTTTTCCTAGTTAACCCCAACCCTCCCCCTCACCCCCAAACCAACCCTAACCACCTCAAATGGCCCAAAATACCCAGCCCAACCCAAAAACTTAAAAAAAATTCAAAAAAAAAATGGCCCGGGCCGGTTCACCTTTTGAAGGGTCTGAGCCCGAACCGCCATCCCACCGGGCCGGATGGCCCGAACCGGCCAACCAACCGGTTCACCGGGCCGGTCCGGGCCCGCACAGTAGCGGGCCGGTCCGGTTCCAGGCCGGTTGGCCCGGCCCGAGTCCAACCTAGTGATGTCATAATCTACGCCTAAGGCAACCCCATGACTCCGATCCGTGAGTAGTGACTCTTTTCCCCATCCACCACATGGCACATCTACTTGCCTCGCTAACTCCGTCTTCTCGTATACGGAATGAAGTTAGATTAAAATTAGTTATTTAGAGAAATATTTATGCATAACATATAAGGTAATGGTCACATTTTTTAAGTTTAATTATCCGGTGAATATGTATTCCATATGAATGCACTCATGACTCATGTAAGGATTTAGATTCTCTCTCGCATGGTAGAGGTGCCTTGTGCAACGACAATTGTAATAGGGGATGAGAGCTATGGCCTGTGGGCTGCCAAAGTTGGATCTTGTGACTATAATAGCTACATACCCTACTTGGCTGCCAAATCCAGATCTCCATGTAATGTATAGTTCGGGATTGCACGTCGTCCGGTTATTCGGTCCCGAGCTTGGACCAGTTAACCGACCGGGTATAGGACGGTCTCGGATAGGCTGTTTGGGAACCGGACCGGGCGGTCCCAGTTTTGGCCCCAACAGTTATTTGTTTGTTTGTGTTTTGTTTAAATTAAAGGGGGACTTGGTCGAGAACTAGCTGTTCCAAATGGTTAGTAACAGCTATAATGTCGTTGGGTGGGGGTGGGGTGCCTAGTTTCATGAGATAATTATCCTAGTTCATAGATTGGGAAACTCATTCAATTTTAGTCATATCCTAGGAAATTTCCCTAGTTTCATTCACAATATGGTAACGTACCTCCCTCCCCCGAAACCGACTGCTTCATCTAAAGGAAAAAGCCTTTTTAAATCAACAACATCTAGTCTTTTGAAAAAAGGTAAATCAACTCCTGCCGTTGCACAAAACTCGATTAACGAGCTTTCTTTATCATTCCTCTGTCCCATAAAACTGTTCTCACTCTGATTTGGACCGGAGTTTAAGAAAAATAGAATCGGCAGGGAGGCTCCTATATGGTTGTGGTTGAATAAGAAAAAAGAAAATGAATGATAGCCACACAAAACTTTCCAAAGAGAGAAATGAAAATTATTTTTTGGGACAACCCAAAAAGAAAAGTGGGGACTATTTTATGGAACGGAGAGAGTATCTAACATTTCCTGTTGAGTATAATGAAGGAAACGACTTTGACATACTCCAATGGTGGAAAACCCACAAAGGGATGTTCCGACTTTATAAAAAATGACCAAATAAGTGTTGTCAATGTCGATTTCAATAGTTGTCGTGGAACAAGAGTTTAGCGAAGCCGATAACATTTTGACTAACTATAGAACAAGGTTGAACGATTTATTACTTGGAACGCTTGTTTGGTGTCCTGGAAAAAGTGTTCTGATTCAGGAGATCGAAGAGAAGAGGTATCTTTTTACTTTTTATCACAAAGTTGATATGAATCGTGTGTTGGATAATGAACCCTGGTTGTTTGACCAAAATCTGCTAGTGTTGAAAGCTATAGAGCAGGGTGACATGCCTCAGAAAATACCTCTTGATACGGCTGATTTTTGGGTTCAGGTTCATAAGGTTCATAATATCCTTTATGGGTTTTCAAATCTGGGTTATGCTCGTAAAATTGGGAACTATTTGGGGAATTTTATATCCTGGGATGATAAACGGTTTGATGAAAAATGGGAAGCCTATATGAGGGTAAGAGTGATGCTGAATGTGAGGAAACCCTTAAAGGTGGGGACGACGTTGAAAAAGAGTAAAGGAGAAGGGTACTGGGTGGATTTCAAATATAAGAAACTTCCAAGTTTCTGCTTTGCCTGCAGAGTCATTGGACACGCTGAAAATTTTTGCCCATCGTTGTATGACAAGGGCGATACAGAGACAGTGAGACCTTTTGGTCCATGGCTTCGGGGGGGGGGGGGGGGGGGGAGGCTCCGTACAACAATAGGCAGCGAATGGCTCTTAGGTGAGAAAGGGATAGGAAGAGACTAAATGGTGAGGCAAATCAATATAATGGATAATCAGAAACAGAGACTGATCAGCATGGAAAATCAGAATCAGGATGAGGGGGACGACCCAAAGACCGTGGAAGCAACAGCTAACAATAGTAGCACGGGAGAGCAAAAGAGGAGGCGGACATGGGAAGCTAAGGAACCAGAGCGGGAATAACCAGGAGAGGATAGTATGATGTTGGAAGAATAAAAAAACAGGGAGGAGGCGGGCTGGAGCCCCCAGACCCGCCACAATCAGTGAAGTTCTGGTGCACTTGGAGAAATAAAGTTTCTTCTACTTTTAGACTTATTTTTATAATTGCTGGGTTTTATCATGGACATCATGTGTTTTTGTTTGTTGTTACGTTTAGTTTTGTCAAGACTCTAGAACATAGGAAAGGTGATGGGGAACGTAGTTTATTAGTCATTGGCTCAAGTAAGCCCAATTCAGGATCAGCGAATCTGGTTGCTTGTTCGAGATGGCAGATTCTAAGTCTAGTTCAAGGACGGGCGGTAGACAATGAGTTCTTTGTCAGTTTGTGTTCTCCTTACGTTCCTTCTTATAATTATAAGCCACATGCTTCCAAAAAAAATACCTTAAACCTTGTTATAATGAAATTGACATTCTATAATTTCATTTGTGAAATAAATAATATTACATCCAGTACAATTTAATATCAATTACATTTTAATAAATGTTTTGTATATTTAAAATTATGCACTTAACACATTAAAATTACATTTATGAAAAATATATGATCATAGTGATAACACGACGTTTTCTATAAAATTTGAGGTATATATTACATGTGTAAGTTTGGAATATATGTCACGCTCCTTCAAAATCTAGGATATTTAAATTATTTTTCCTTAATAAATCAGTCCTTATATTTCTAATGATTATAATTATTTCTCGTATTCGAATGTTCTTTTTTCAATAGGCAATCAAAGCCTCGGTGGACGGGGGTATAAGTAGCCCAATTCTGAATCTGCTGAAATTGTTAGTTGCTCAATACCAAATTTGGGCTGCTTCATCGGCTGAATACGGAGTATATATTTTTATTTGCCCCTTAAAATTATGAAAATTACGGAGTACAAAATTTCCTCGATTTATTCCGCTTTTCTTCTCCCTCAGGTTTCCCCTCCCATAAGATATCTGTTTGTTATCATCTCAGATCAGTAGTCAGTCCTAATAGATTTCCTCCGGTTAGTCTCCGACAGCTATACGTCTTACCATTTATGTTTCAGCGATAATTTTTTGATAGAAGATCTCCCTTTTTGATTGATCCATATATTAGGGCTTCGTTTGATAGGAATTGCAATGACAAAAGATGATGTTCCAGCCAAAGGTGGTTTCAGCTTCGACTTGTGCATAAGGAATGAAATGCTGGTCAAGAAAGGGGCTCAGCCTCCGTCTTTTCTGAAGACGGGAACTACAATAGTAGGCTTGGTTTTCGAGGTCATCACTATCCCTTGCTCCAAAATACTTGATATTCTCCGTCATTTGTCTATTTTGGGTAGTGGTATTTTGATTAAGTGTTCCTTGAGTTACAATTACCTATTTCATTTTTATGCTCTGCTATAAACTTGGTCTCGTGAGTTATATTTATGTGTTGTGCTGATAATTGTGATGTTTTCGAGTTCAGCTTGCTAGGCGCCAGCCGCCAGGGGGTCATTCACTGCCCGACTAGTGCCTTTTAGAACATTGAGTGTTACCTTATTGTACCGTGTAATCGAACATTATAATCTCATTGCAAAAAACAACCACATTAACATTGCCTTAAAATGTGGATTGATGAAAATTGTCTTTCAAACTAATAGATTAATGATGTGGAGTGAAGCCAAAGGACAAACTTGCTTTAGTTGTTCCCTGAACTTGCTATGAAGAAACTGCATGTTATCCAAGAAACAGCATGTTAACATATTCTTGCATTATACTAGTATTAACATTATTCCTTGAGTTGGAGAACTGTTATGAATAGTGGATGAACAAAATTCCCTGCGAAGGCTGACCATTAATCTGCTATTTTACCCGACGCCCCCCACAAAAAAGTTTCCTCTACTCATTTTCCTCATAATAACCTTTTTCTTTGCATAGTTATTAATTTATTATTTATTGGCTGGTCCTCATTTCAATACCCCATGTGGTCGATGCTCATTTATCTTGATTTTTTGCATGCTGAAGCAAAATATGATTATTAACAAGTCTTGTGGCTGTGATTATGTCCTCAGAATGGTGTCATTCTTGGAGCAGACACACGAGCCACTGAGGGACCCATAGTAGCCGATAAGAACTGTGAGAAAATTCACTACATGGCTCCTAACATTTATTGTTGTGGAGCAGGGACTGCTGCAGACACGGAAGCTGTGACAGGTACAGCTTCCGTTCTTTTCCTAATTTTTATTTTAAAATCATTTGCTGCAATGGCATGTAGTCTTTTAGGTCTTTTTTGTTCAGAGACTTTGGAGGGGAGGGGAGGGGGTGTTTTTCGTACTAATTAATCTCTGTCTTAGTCTTAAATTATGCTTCGCTAAGTCATATGCTCCTTAACTCCTTTAGTCTTAGGGAAGAGAAAAAAATAAAAAAAAGGTAAACAGTTAGAGTAAATAGCTGTGCAGGTGGCATGTGTTTGGAAATAATGACTAATACTCCCTCCGTCCAGAAATAATCATCCTGTTTTGACCTTCACACAGATTAAGAAAACAAAGTTGACCTCACACTGTAGCGACACTGTTTGGCACTGTAGCGACACTGTTTGGCACTGTAGCGAAACTGTTTGGCACTATTTTGCGCTGTTTGACACTGTTTTGTATAGATTTATTTACCAAATAAGGAAAGGAGACAATTATTTCGGGACGGACCGAAAAGGAAAGCAGAACAATTATTTCGGGACGGAGGGAGTATATGACTATAATAAAGATAGCGGACAAATCGTCACTTTTGTATTTAGTGACTATAGTAGTAACTGTTAGTGATTAATATGTTTAACTTTTCACAATAGTGATCATAACGAGTGATGACATATTCAGTAATTTTAGTCTCACTTTTATCCATAAATTTATTTCAGTATATTTTAGGGAAAACTTCTAAATAATTGGGTGGAGTAATTGATGAATAATGTTGTTATTATGAGTTTGTTTATTTTAAGAAGTAATGATATAGTAATTATTCAACACTTAAACTTTTCCCAAAAAGAGAGAAAAGATTCATGTGGGACGTCGTGAAAGGTAACCTTAATATGGGATGAAGAGAGTATATTTCTATAATATTTTTTACTTTCAACTTTCTTTCTGAGGGGTTATGAAACCCGAGGGTAGAGTGGAGTGAGTGAGTAAAGTGTCTAGAAAGCAAGAGAGAAAGTGTGTACTAAAAATGGTAGGGTGGTGATACAAATCTCAAAATGTGTACCTCCTTCATAAGTTGTAAGGTGGTATTAATAGTAAGTAGGTAACTTGATGGCTTAGCTAAGAGATAATACAAAGATGACATGTGTCCCTTGGCTATCTTGGGTAACACCTTAGTGACAAACATGATGCTGGCAGCGGTACAATGATATCATCCCCTGAAGTCTGTGCATGATGATGTCAGTGAAGTATGTTGTGGCATAATTCCTGCTAGGTAATGCTGGAAAGCCGATTGCGGTTGAGTATGGAATCTAGGAATGAGGCCAAGTTGAGAGCAGGTCCCACTGCCATCGTCTTATGAGCCACCAAGGCCGAGCCGAGAGCAGGTCCCCTCAGCCTTGTTCATCTAACCAGTCCCAGTGCACGTGGACTACTTGGCTGGAATATACCAAAGACCGGATTTACCCTTGGCCTCATCTGAGTGCCTCATCCACGACAGATGGGTCTGTTGGGCTTTTTCCTGTAGACTGATTATTTGGACCCTGGAGTGTTTGACAATATACTTAATTACTTTATAACTATGAATTAAAATAAACATCATCCCTCTGCTCCAATATTTCTGAACTAAGGGATGGCTTATTGTGTAAATGGCTATTTTGTAGACATGGTCAGCTCCCAGCTGAAGCTTCACAGATATCACACTGGGCGTGAATCCAGAGTTGTCACGGCACTTACATTGTTGAAGTCTCATCTTTTCAAGTAAGCATATTGTCAGTTTTCACTAGGTTTTTATAGAAAAGTTATGTTTTATTTTATCTTATCTATGAGAGGGGGGTCTAACTGTAGTATAATTTAACAAGACACCAAGGACATGTTTCGGCTGCTTTGGTTCTTGGCGGAGTTGATGTTACAGGACCGCATTTGCATACAGTGAGTAACTTCTAAAATCTTAGTCCAGCCATCATTGCTTGTGTGACCACAAAGAACTAATAGTGAATTGTTTTACAGATTTATCCACATGGCTCAACTGACACACTGCCATTTGCTACAATGGGATCTGGTTCCCTTGCAGCAATGTCGGTTTTCGAGTCAAGATACCGAGAAGGTTTAAATGTAAGTACACATTTGGCATTGCATTTATTCAGTTGCATTTGGACACAATTTGGAGGTATCTTGTGCAATGAAGGACATATTTTAATGCAGAGGGATGAAGGAATCCAACTGGTGACAGATGCCATACTGGCTGGAATTTTCAATGATCTAGGTAGTGGAAGCAATGTTGATGTTTGTGTAATCACCAAGGTGCGGTTACTTGGAGCTGATTGCGATTAAGTTTTGATGTTTGAGACTTGATTTTTGAAGCAAAATATGTAATACATTTTTACTCGCATGGTAAAGAAAGAAACATTACGAATGTTGTTAGAAGTGTGGCGGTCCTATCATTAAATGGTCTAATGGGAGACCAGGCTTTAAGGTGTGTTTGGTTAGACGGTTTGGAGAGTTTACTGTATATCTTGATATACATATCTGAGATTTGATTATAAAAATTGAAAGAAAGATTAACACAACACGTGATCGTACAATATTTCAATAATTCATTTGGAAACATTCTATTTATCAAGGTATATCCCAAGCCCTCCAAATTCTTCCCCTCCAAAACCATCTTTCCAAACAGATCCTTAAGGTTTTTCACTTGGGTATGGTTTAGCTTAGGTGGCTTTGGCTCCTAATTTTTCTTAAGTTCTTTATCTTTTGTTCTTTAGGGGCACGTGGAATACATTAGAAACCACAAGTTGCCGAATCCCCGAACATACCCACAGAAGGGTTATGCGTTCCCTAAAAAGACCGGTTTGTGCTCTCTTATTCTTTGCTTTTTACTCTGAATACCATACTGCAATTGATGGCTTGGATGCTCAATTGAGTTGCAATATTCAATGTTCTTTTTTTCTATCTATCGACAGAGGTTCTTTTTACAAAAGTTACACCCTTGATTGACACTGTGGAAGTTGCTGTTGAAGATGCTATGGAAGAATGAAGCCAATATTGGTTCCTTCTAAACTGAACCTCTGGTGTTTGTCAAAGACATTTACAGGAGATGCACATATGTGCTCTTCTAGTTGTGTATGAACTTTCTATGAGATGTTGTGGGTTTAAAAAATTAACCATCCATATATGTTTGCGAATATAAAAAAGCGGGGTGTTTGCATTTAAATGATTTGGTGGAAGTTTTGCTGCTCTTTTGATATCAATGATTTGGTAACAGTGTCACTAACGAAGCATTTGCAGGAGTTGGTATATTGGTAATAAAAACTGTCCGAATGTAGGGAATTTTTTCTTAGTTCAGTTCTAGCAGCCTCGCGGGTGACTAATGCAGGAAACATAATGACCATGTTCTTTATATGCAAATTGGAAAATATAAAGCTCCTGAATTCCTTGCTGTTTTTTATTGTTAATTTGTTTACATTCTCTTAAAATAATGACTTTATATCCTTTCAGTGTTGTTTCAACCGGCCATTTTTATCAAACTTTGGAGCTTTCACTTTTTTCAATCGACTAAATTATGCCCAGAAGGTTAGAAACTTAGAATGTTAAAAGCTATTATTGCTCTAGTGAAACAGACTAGGATCCTGTCATCGTTGGGAGTCATGACTTTCAAGAAGATTAGACCATAACTAGGAGTGGACTAGTGATGGATTCGGGCCGGGTCGGGCCCGGTCGGGCCGCCGGTTCAAGAAAAGTGGGCCCGGGACCGGCCCGCGGGTTGGACGGGTCCGGTTCGGGCCGGGCCACCCGCCCGGGTCACGGGTCGGGCCCGGTTCAGGCCGGGCCGGTTATTTTTTTTTTATAATTTATATTTATAGTTTATAGTTTTATACGAGTATTAAAAACAAACTTCAATTGCATTTATTTGAAATGAAATAGGAACTACATATAAGAGATAAACATTTTGAAAATTGTAATCAATCGGAACTTCATGCACCTCCCGATCCTTTGGCTTTGTCACATGACTTCATGTGCTTGATGATTGTCATCCCGAATCCGCCTGAAGCCCCCATTATACATTTTTTTTCGCACCATTTGCAAATTGCGTACCACATCCCGGTCTTCGGGTCCTTCTGCTTATCAAAATTATACCGTATAATGGCATTTTGATTTTCCATCTTAACTTCTTGGAGAAGAGAATATGAGAGTAGATAACTAGATATATAATATATTGGAGAATAAGAGAATTAGAGAGTAGAGATATAAGGATAGGAAGAATTGGAGAAGAGATATGAAAAAATGTTTAAGATTAGGAGTATTTATAGGTTTTTTTTACCCCCCCCCCCCAACCCCCCCCACCACCCAACCCCCCGGACCCCCCCTTTACCCCACCCAACGGCTATATAGCCGTTTGGGTTGTCCCCAGCCCCACCCCCAACGGCTAGTAGGAGCCCAAACAAAATAAAAATTAAAAAATTGGACCGGACTCGGGCCCGGGCCCCACCCGGCCGGGCCGGGTCACAAAAATGCTGAACCGAGCCCGCCCCGCCCTTCCCACCGGTTCGGGCCCATACCCGGTCCCGGACCGTCCGAACCGGGCCGGTCTCGGGCCAGCACAGTACTGGGCCGGGCCGGGTCACGGGCCGGGTGGCCCGAACCGAATCCATCCCTAGGGTGGACTGGGACGGGTCGGCCTGACCCTGGACCTGGTCCGGTACTGTGCAGGCCTGACCCAGCTCGGTGAGCCTGGACTGGGACCGGGCCTGGGGCTCGGCCCGGGGGATTCAATGGGCGGGCTAGAGGATCAACATTTGATGGACTGGCCTGGCTGGGCCCAATTGATTTTTTTTTCGTTAATTTTTCCCATTGGGCTAGCTGCTAGGTGGGTGGGGCTGGGTGGTTTGAGGTTGGGGGGTTGGAATTAATTCGAAAAGACAAATATTTTTTAAAAAAATATTTAAGGCACGACCCGACCTCGATCCGGTACAAACCTGAACCGGTATTGGGCCTGATGTTTTGGTCCCAGAGACCACCTAGTCCTGACCCGGAGCCTGGCCTGGACCTGGTCGAGTCCACCCCTAGCCATAACCCATAGGCCATAGGTCCTGCATGAACTCTGTTGCAAAACAATATATGCATTATGCACTATGCAGGGAAGAATAGTCCTCATGAGTAGGGATGGATTCGGGTCCGGGCTGGGTCCGGGTCGGGCCTAGGCCCGGGCGGGCCGGCGGTTCAAGAATAGTGGACCCGGGACCGGCCCGGGTAGCCACCGGGTCCGGGCCGGGCCGGGCCTCCGGTTTGGATTTTTTTTTTTTTTTTTTTTTTGCTTTCCTAACCCCCCCCCCCCCCCCCCCCCCTCACCCCCACCCTCCCAAACCCCCCCAAACCCATCCTACCCATCAAGCCCAACCCGGGTGGAACCCCAAAAATGAAAAAAAAAATAAAAAAAATCAATTTGGCCCGGGGCCGGTTCACCAAAATTGAGACCCGAGCCCGGACCCGCCCTACCCCCCGGACCTAGGCCCGACCCGGACCCGGACCCGAGAACCGGGCCGATCCACGGGCCGGGTGGCCCGACCCGAGTCCAACCATACTCATGAGTCATGACTTCATCATATATCGATTTAAAAGATGGTCAGCTGGGTATAACTTTGTTAGTCATTGGGGTTGGTTGCAATTTGAAATATGGGAAAATGCAGTTATGGGTTGAGACCGGCCAGTAGGGGTGGACTCGGGCCGGGCCAACCGGCCCGGAACCGCACCGGCCGCTACTGTGCAGGCCCGGTCCGGACCGGTGAACCGGTTCCGGGCCCGGTGGGATGGCGGTTCGGGCTCGGGCCCTTCAAAAGGTGAACCGGCCCGGCAGGTTCGGGCCTGGGCCCGGCCCAATTTTTTTTTGTTTTTTGATTTTTTTAAAGTTTTTGGGTTGGGCTGGGCATTTTGGGCCATTTGAGGTGGTTAGGGTTGGTTTGGGGGTGTGGGGCAGGGTTGGGGGTTAACTAGGAAAAGCCCAAAAAAAAAAAATAGAACCGAGGCCAGGCCCGGACCGGACCGGACCCGGGAGTTACTCGGCCCAGACCGGACCCGGGGGTTACCCGGGCCAGTTCCGGGCCTCCCCTTCTTGAACCGAGGCCCGGTCGGGCCCAGGCCCGAACCGGGCCCGAACCGGAACCGGTCCACCCCTACCGGCCAGTCCCTGCCAAAGAAAAGGGAGGCCGGGGATCGGCCTGCTAGATAGTGGTTCCAGACCGGGTCGGGTAGACCATCTGGTGTGCTCCCAGGCCATGTCTTAGTGAATTTTTTTCAAAAATTTCGGCCGTTAGAGATTGGACCGGGTCTGATATTGGCAGGTTTTGGTCCAAAAAATCGCAATATTGACCAGGTAACAAAGACTGAGGTGGGGCGGTCCCAAATAGTGTTGGCGTGGTCCGATTCTGGCACGGTTTTGGCGTGGTCGGGACTGGTGGATCGGGTCCACTCCTATGCATCATGGTGATGTAACTGCTCTTGTGCTGGTGAGGCAATAAATAATGCATATAAATCCATTACAATTACAATGTTGTGACGATATATGATATATGTAAGTATGTAAACTGTGGTGTATCTAATACAATAAGGCGAAAGTGACATCAATAATCTCTACTTTTACACATTTTACAAAATAATCCCTATTCATAAATTTCACAAAAATAATCCCTAATATTCAATTGTTTCATAAAAATAATCCGAGTGCTAACGCTGTTAACTTTTCCGTTTTTTTTTTTTTTTTTGAATATATCAAAGCAAAAATATGTATAGAAATTAATAATATTATATTTGAGTTTAATCATTTTCTACGATAAAAAAAATTTAGTCCCTCCGTCCCATTTAAAGGTTCTCGTCCACTATTCTCCGGTCAATGTGCATTGTTCTTAATCTTTTACTTTATATATCAAAAGTTTATGAAATGTAAATTATTTTTTGCAGGTTTTGTAGCGGTTTGATGTAGTTTCTGAATATATAAATTTTATTTAATAAAAATAATTCTATTAATGACAGGGATCGGTTAAATTTATAGTTAGTCAAACATCGTAAACCGCGTAGGAACCTTGAAGTGGGACGGAGAGAGTAATATTTAATATTTTTCATAAAATATAATAGAAATATATGTTTTAAATATTCAATACTCTACATAATTTGTATTCATATTTGATGTAGTATTAGTAAAACTGCTTTAAAATCTCTATTATACTGAATAAAAAATGAATATAAATAAATTATGGATAAGGATTGAAAGAGAATAAAGAATTTGAAGAGTATGTATTATGTGTTGTACGAATATTTCTACTCCGTATTATGTTTCATGAAAAATATTGAATATTAAATTAAATTTTTACTAGAAACAAAATTAAACTCAAATGTAATATTGTCAAGTTAGTAGAATCGGGTTCAAGTGAGAAAACAATCTTAGGAGAGAAATGAGAATGAATCTGGACCGTTAGATTGTATTTTGTGAAATTGATTATGCATTAACTCATTAAGTGAAACGGAAATGTGCATTAGGTGAAATCGAAATGTACAACACAAAAAGTAAGACACGGTGGTATTGAATTGTGCATTAGAGGAAATTGAAATGTGCACTAAGTGAAACTGAAATGTGCAGATTAAAAACTACAATGTGGTGGCATTTTTGTACCTTTTATTTTGCACATTTTAATTTCATATAATGCAAATTTGAGTTTAACTGAAATGTACAGAATAAAATTTAGAGCTTTATTCTAGCTTTTTTCATGAAAATATATTTTATTTAATGTTTTATGCTATCTTAATTCTGAAAATCTGAATTTTCTATTTTTTCCATTTTAGTATTTTTAATTTATTTCTATTTTCTTTATTCTATATTAATATATTCTATAACTTATATTGTATAGTTTATCATTTAATTTTAGTGATTTGAAGTATAAGTTTGAAATAATTACATACTTCTCACTAAAACAAAAATTGTTTACAAAAATGTGACTAGTGAATAGAGTAGTAATGGAATCATAGTTACTTATGTTCAATCTTTACACTTAAGTTACCATGACACTACATTGCGGTAACTATTAATCATATTTGTGTAAATAAGTTCTATTTTAGTAATATTTTTGAAAAAAAAACGATAAGTGTTGGAGGTTTTGGCTACTTATAATGAAAAGGTATTAATACCACTCTTTGTCCCAAATTGTTTTGAAAAGTCAACATTTTTTTGTCAACCAATGTTAAAGTTTAATCATTCGTATTGATAATTAATTCAATTTCGATAATTATAATTTACATATTCAGAAACTACATTAACGTTGCAAAATCCAAATTAAAATTTAATTAAGAATTGATATCATAATTAAGTGAATAAAATGAATCTATTTGACCCACACGGTCAATTTTGCAACTCAATTTGGAACGGAAGGAGTATCATTTAAGTGATATAATGGAAATTGTAAAAAATATAGAAAAGGTGTGAATAGCTTGGAATGACGATGGAAAAATGTTTGCCCATGGATAGCGGTGGTGGCTGCACCTCTGAAGAAAACGAACAAATTGAACGAGGAGCACATTTGGGATTTCGGGTTTTAGTTCTATTATATAACAAGGGTATTTTTGTCTATTCATTTATAATCGGTCCTATTTTCGTCCAGAATCAATTTTGTCCTACTTTTGTCTTTTTAGAAGTGTTGGACTCTTATTAAGGCGTTGTGTTTTCCGATCGGTGAAGCTGACGGCGACCTTAAATAAGTGCTTCGTATTGTCGGTGTGTCTTCAGTTGATTGATGATAAGTTCGTATTTCAACACGCATTTAATGCGTGTTGGAGTCAGATTTTGATGATTTTCCTCGTTTTAAGGCGTCATAAGTGTCATGTTTAGCTCAAGTCACCTTAGTCGGGTGTTGAAACGAGTTTTGACATTTTTTAGAGATGAAATCAGGTTTTTTAGGGCCCTATTTCGGCGCTTAAGGAGTGATCGGGACGAGTTAAGGAGTGTTCGAGAGTGAATTCAGAGTTTTGAAGGGCAACGAAAGATTGATGATGAAGATTTGATGAGAATCAATTTTGTCCTACTTTTGTCTTTTTAGAAGTGTTGGACTCTTATATCCATCGTTCTTTCATAATAAGGATCTGGCAAGGAAGAAGCCCAAAGAAAAAAGAAAACAAGGCCACCCTATTTTGAATTTTGATCTTGAACTATTTTACCAATCCTAATTTTAGACAAGACTATTACACATAATGGTACGAAATAAAGTACTCCCTCCGTCCCATATTTATCTCCTCAAGTACAAATGGCACACGGATTAAGATAGTGGGAAATGTGTGGTGGAAAATTATGCAGAGAAAAGAGAAATGTGTAAAATGTGTAAGAATGTTGTGAACCACAAATTCTTTGCTAAAAAGAGAAAGAGAAGATAAATTTGGGACAGACCGAAAAGGAAAAAGGAAAGTATGAAGATAATTCCAGAAGGGAGAGAGTATAAAATACGGACTAACTACATTCCAAATAAATACATGCAAAGTATGCAGATTAATTAGGGTTTGGAAAAAGTAACACAAGATGAGATATAAGAAAATGTATACAATAGGTATCACGAGACAGCTGAAACTTGGTTAAGGCTGCATATAAAATCTTCAATTTCCTGACTTCTAAATTAATGGCTTTCACATATGAGAGAGATTCATACAAAATATATTAATATACAGAGAATAATATAGAGGCAATAGAACGAGGATTATGATAAAGAATCATAGGAGGGGTTCAGAAAGCTCCATTTCATTCGCACTATCCTCACGTGTTTCAGCAGGTCTAGAACCTACAAAATCAATGCCTAGCCATTGCCATGGCCAACACATGTATCTAGGTCTTGTTAGGCCAGAAGTGAAGGTTCCCCGGGAATCCAACTCTTCAAGCTGACGTGTGAGCTCCTCCACTCTCTCCCTCAGCCTTGATGCCCTTAAATCTGCCAGCTCTAATGACTTGATGGCTGCATCTCTCGCAGCCATTGCAGCAGCTGCGGTTTCTTCTTTGAACTTTAGCTTATTCTCAGACTCTATAGCAGCCTGCTTTGCCTCATCAACTTCCTGACGAGCAGCAGACAACTGCAAGATAATGAAATACATTAAAATTCTGCATAATAGATTGAGAGCTTGTCTGGAGTACAATTTTAGTTGCTTTTTTTATAAAGCTGGAACTTTGCATCTTATGTTTATTTTTCAACTGATTAATTTTTTCCCAACTGATCTCAATTTCATATTATTTACCTTGTAATAGCTAATTATTAATTGATTATAACAATAATCAATCACATATCATTGATAATTACTAAAATAGTCTACAAAAACATTGGACCATTTCCCAACAAACTTTATCAGAACAATCACGGTAGAGGTCTGCACTTCAGAGTTCAGATACCAGGTACAAGTATGACTTTTACAGAGTATTCGGCATTTTTTGGAGCAGTGAACCAATCAAAAGTGAGACAAAAGAGGTTAAATTTAACGAATCGTGAGCATGCCTGTGCCATATATTTTTGTTCAACAGCTTTCCCTGTATCAGCTTCTTGCCTTGCTGCTGTTTTCCACCTTGAAATTTCTTCTTCAGCGGCAGCAATGTCCAACAGAAGCCCTTCAACCTGTATTAGACAGTTGCTGTTAATAACAACTCCTCTGTTAAAAAGGACGAAGGTCTCATGAATTTCCACTTGAACTTACATACAAAAGAAGACTCTTTTACCACAATATATAGCACTTCACAAGAGGATATAATGGTAATACTTACATTTTCATTGGCAGTCCTTTCTTTCTCCTCAAGTTCCTCTACACGTTGCTTCCACTGGCTGAGTTCCTTTGCTTGAGCTTCCACATGCTTATTAAGTAAACTTGACTCTGTCCTTGATTCAGTAAAACCCACAAATACACACACTGAACAATTAGCACTTCATTTAAGACAATGATGTCACACACACTTGAATTGAAGCTCCCAAGTCAAGGAGCCAAATCACATAATAGTATAATACAATTTATTAAACAAAATGTATCAGGCCTTGGGCGATCAGAAAATTATTGCATTAAATGTGGTTTATCCATATTTTGTAGGCTACAACAACACTTGAAAGCATTAATCTCCGATTGATGAGGTGTCCTATAATCCATATTTTCTAGGCTATCAAAAACATAAAAAAACTCACATAGGAGTACCATTTATTGTATGTGGAGTATATCATAAAATCTGTTTCATGTGTTCATTAATTGTGATCAATTTTTTATCGGTAATACAATCTAATACGAACCTCAACTCTTCGACTGAATGTTTAAGCTCAATAATCTCAAGCTGAGATTGCTTGATGATGTTCTCTAATGCCCCAGCCTAATTAATAAAATTGATGAATCAGAAACAGAATGATTGTTTAACCATACAATTAAATGTTTAAAATCAATAAGATGTACCAAAGTATAAATCTCATCTTCTGTGTCCACAACAACAACATTATCAGAAGCTGGAACCTTTCCCTCCATAAGATTACTGCTGAACTTGTAGCTTATTCCAGCCTCTTTTAATCCATTTTCAGCGATCTTAAAGAGCTCATTTGTTTTTGAGGACAAATCCACTGAAGCCCTTCTGGATAAAGCACTTCTTAATAAAGACCCAATCTGCTCCTTCTCATTTATTAGTTGAGAAACTGATTCATTAAGGCCTTTCACTTCATGGTTCCTCTCTTCCATAAACTCTGTTGTTTTATCTACCAGAATTTGACTCAACTCATGTATGGAATCCAAACCCGCCAAAGAAGCCCTTATATTCTCCTCCACATCCATTTGCTGAGCAAGAAAGAAAGATTCTGATAGTTCAGACGACTTCTTAATGTCAACTACCTTCATAACATTACGAATGTTTTCGTGTATTTTGGATACATAATTCAGTTGTTCAGCCAATAATGACCTTTGCAAATCCATTTTCGATTCCAAGCTATTTGCTTTTGTATCAGATTCAGAAAGCTTCTTCCTCAATCCTATTACTTCAGTTTCCATGGCACTTTGCTTGTCAACCATCTGCCTTTCAAATTCAGACAGTTTCCCATCTTTCTCAGCCACAGATTCTAGCAATTCCTGTACAAGGGAATCTTTCTTCGAAACTTCCTCTCTCAAATCACTTATGGTTGACTCAAGCTGCGAAATCTCAATAGCTATCTCATAGTTCCTCTGCTCCATCAGTTCCCGAGCCTCATTCCTTCCCTTAGCAGCCGATTCAGTCTGCCTCAACATCTCTTCAACAATTTCATTGGTCCTTTTGATCACACCATAAGCTACAGCAGGCAAGCCAGTATATTTGTGCGATCGAGGCAACCCACCAGCTGCAAAGTTCTTAAAATGGCTTACTTTTCCTGAAATCTTATCAATCCCAGTCACCAGCATTGAAGCAGCTGTCTCAATTTCCACCCTAGCAGACTCTTTGGCTTTAGTCATTTCTTCTAATTGTTTATGAAACTCATCTCTCTGCCTAGAGATTTCATCTTTTTCCTTAGTCGCCTGGCTGATCTGGGTCAATATCTTATCAATTGTTTTAGAAGCTTCTTCCTTCTCGCGTAAGGCTTCGTCTCGTTGCCTGGAACACTCATCGCGCTTCTTTATAGCCTCGTGTGCAAGGGTTTTCAATCGATTGAAGGAGACCTGCAATTCCGATTTGCTATTCTCCGCGGCCGTGCGCAACTGCCTTTCGCGATCGAGATCGGCCAGGACCTCCCGGAATTTCTCGAGGGAGACATCCTCCGGTGCCAGAGTCTTAATACCGATCTCCACCGATTCATCCTCCTCCACATCGCTCAAAACGGCGTCATTGTCTTCTTCACCGGCACTAGCCATTTACGTTTAAATTAATATCATTTAAATGGAAATCGATCTTTAGCAGGTCTTGGTATAGGATTCAATGGGATTTTAGATGTGTGAATTTCAAAGAGAAACGTAAGGAATCCAAATAAATTATCAGAAGTTTGAACCCTAGAATATGAAGTATGAAGGACTAAAGTAAGACTACAGCTGATTCATGATGGTGATAAATCCAAGTTTTTATCGAATAGCCAATTTTGGTGGGATATCAAATAGACTAGTAGACAACTTCCGGATTGGGGGAAAGGAATAAGGAAGTGTTTGAAAAAAATAGGGAAAAGTCGGAAAAGGTTGTATGAGTTGCACTTCACATATTTTTCTTTTAATTTTTCGGGCACTTTTGAAAATCGGAGTTACTTTTAACGGTCTTTTTCAGACGTTTTAAACGGCGTGACCCTCTTGTGATAACGGAATTCAAACACATGAACCATTTTTATAAAGAATTAAACACATGACCCTATCTCAAAACGAACCCAACCACAATTACCTTTTTCGTACTTTTCCCAAAAAACAATTAAAGAAAAGTGTTTTTTATTTAAAAAAAGTTGAAACGAATGGTTTCAAGTTAAAACGATTTTCACCGCAAATTATACCCTACGATCGGCCCACCACGAGGATGGTGTGCCCGATCCTCTTTTCTTCTCCGCCAAGCTGCCCTCCTGGGATCGTCGTCCGCTATAGCATACTCCGTATAACGTTCCTTCTTCTTTATCCATCCGCTTCTGCTATAGGAATTTAAATGGCGAAATTTCAAGACCATGGCATCATAACCGTCGGACGCAACCACTTGGCCTCCCCACTGCTCACAAACTAGTCAAATTGCAATTTGATACCATGCCTCCTCACCGTTCATGATTGGGAAGAAAAGAACGTTGCTGACAAAAGGCTTTGAGTTTGTTTTTACTCGATGGGTTTGAACACTCATCAAAATCAAAATCGATCGATGGAGAGCAGTTTTGTTGAAGATGACTATTATGAATTATTTTATATCTTCTTCAATTTACATGTTGGGTACATTCAAGTTACATCAAGATTTGCCTAAAGTTACATATACTAAGTTACATCTAATTTGTTTTCAAGTTACATTTCAATTAAAGCAGTTTACATTTCAACGAGTTACATGTGAATGAGTGTAATTTACATTTTGATTAATTTGAAATTACATGTGGAATCACACGAATTACATTTCATATAGTCATGGGAGCATGGTGCTCACCATGCACCGGTTGCACGGTATACCTCCTCGATTTTCACCATTTCTATTACACAATGTATTAGTTTCAATTATGTTCCAAATGCATTTGTTGAATAGCAACAAAAATTACTCCCTCTGTCCCGAAAAGGTTGGCCAAAGTTGACTTTCACGTGGATTAATAAAGTAAAAACTGTGTGGTTGAAATTTGTGCAGAGGAGAGAGAATTAATTTTAACCACAGATTCCTTACTTTAAATGGAAATGACAAATGTTTTTGGGACATCCAAAAAAGAAATTTGGCCAACCTTTTCAGGACGGAAGGAGTATATGTAGATTATGCTTTATTGATAAATAAGAAAAGAGTGACGAAACCCTAGAGCGGGGCCGATCGGAGTTTTCCAATAGGGGCGACATAATTCTTCTTCCCTAAGTATTACGATTCCTTTCACTGCAACTTTACTTAGGTAGATTTCTGGCGATCTGCTGGAAGAAGATTATAAAGGCGGACTGGCCTAGCAAAGTCCGAGGATCTTTGGGCTGGCGGCGGCTGTGCTTTCTTTCACGGCAGCTCTGGTCTGTAGTTTGGACAGGTTTTGGGCGCTCTATTGCAGGGGTGGATAGCAAACGGAAGCAGCACACAAGGTTTTGAAACTGGGCGCCTAGCAGCGGAGGTAATTTGGGACCAGTCCTCGGTGGGTTCTCAATTCTTGTTGGCTCTGCGTTTAAGGGATGCTATTTGTGCGATTCAGCGGAGCAACAATGTTGAGGACTGATTTTTCGTTGTTTGTTATGGCAATTTTGGTTCTATTGGTGTCTGAGATGAATGTGGTACCAGAGGTGTTTGATGTCGGAGGAACACGAGTGATTTGGGGGCCGGTGAAAGGGGTGACCCAATGGGTGGCAGTGTTGATTCGTCCCCCTCTGTAACCACCGCCACAGAAGAATTGTGGGTTTAGGGATTGGAAGAAGATGCTTGAAAGATGGATTCAAATAGTCCAACACTCGAAGATTATTTACTTGAGCTATTTTCTGATTTCTATTTCTTATTTTGTTGTTATTTTGTTAAACACTAATGGTGGTAGGTGTGTTGTTTGATTTATTCTAGTTGCTGGATTTTTGTTTGGAGGCAATCAGACTTACTCAGCCGCTAAAAGCCTCAAAGCTCTCACATGTTCAGCGAGTAGTCTCGCTCTTTTTGGGGTGGACTACTCTATGTTTGATCATGGCTTGAGGGGCCGGTGGGCTTATGGTTAATGTTGGTTGAAAGGAGGTTAGGGCTTTTGGTTGTTGCTCAGTTGTATTATTTTCTCAGTCACACATCGAGAATATTGATTTAATATAATTTGTCAGCTTCCTTTCAAAAAAATATCATACAACTCCGTGCAATCAAAAAATAAAAATAGTTGGGAGATATGTTGATAAAGAGATAACAAACGGATATGACTACTCTTTTTAGTAAAATCTTGATTCTCAAGCATCGTTATATGTCTAAGTGAGATTAATTAAATGGTGTGTCAGATTTTTTAAAAGATTAGTATTGAAGAAAATAGTTATTAGGAGTATTATTTGGAAAAAGATTCGGCATTTAGATAACAACCCTGAATTATTTTAGATTGTAATTTAAATATATTTGGAGCATGTATAAAAATATATGTATACGGTAACATTGTGGGAAGAGTTTTGAATTTTGGAAGTATTTGAATTTTATTGTGTGATAATGAAATGACAACCATGAATGCAAGAAAAACATAGAACGAAGGATATGATGCTCTTAATTTAATTTTGAGTTACCTCATTTAAAATAAAAAATCGGGCGTGTACAAAACATAAGTGCCTCTAAAAGTATCTCAACAGTTTGATTTGGGTGAACATTTAAATTATACGGAGTAGTTATTTTGTAAGTAGAGTTAGTATGCTAACTTTGTTTAATATCAATTCACATACTCCTACCCCCTTGTTTGGGATACTGGGTTTCACATACTGAATATTGAAATAGCAAAAGTGATCAACAATGTATAAAATCTGTATAAAAAAATGACATGATGGTAAAAAGTACGTAGTATGGAAAAAATGAAATACTTACTAACATGAAAAAAGTGTTGCAAATACTTAAATATGGACCAAATGGAAAATTATTGCAACCATTTGAACAAGGAGAAGTTATTATTTTGTATTTGTTGAATGTTTGCTTGATAATTATTCAACCAGCCCCCTTACTCCAGTCCCCCAGACCCCTCCACCAGACCCCCTGGAGTAAATAAAAATAAATAAAAATATTAAAAAAAATAAAAAAAATTCAACCAATAATTTATATACGCATCTAAAGTCATCTCGATTTATCATACATTTATTAAAATAATGTTCATTAGATTTATCAAAATAAATAGTGAGCTGGGGAAGGATTAAGAAATGAAGATATATATATATATATATATATATATATATATATATATATATATATATATATATATATATATATATATATCTTTTCAATATATATATAGGGGATGGTTCAAATACAAAGAGGTCTTCCCATGCAAAGTAAGAATTAATCTCGTGCGTTCATTTTGAGATCTAATGGTTCAAAATGAGCCAAAAAGTGAACTAAATTTGATCAAAAACACGGTGGCAATTTCGTAATTAAAACGAAATTTTTTGCCATCGCGAAAAAGTGCAACAGAAACACGCAAAAGTGCAACGTGGTGAAGAAAAAGTGCAATTGTTTGCACTTTATATATATAGGGCATGGTTCAAATAAAAAGAGGTCTTAACGTGCAAAGTGAAAAGTTTACACTTTTTCATGTTTCGCTTGCACTTTTTCTTGCTTTCGTTGCACTTTTTCGCGATAGCTAAAAAAATTGGTTTATTTACAAAACTGCCACCATCATTTTGGCCGAATTTGGCCAAAATCAAAATGGCCAAAAAGTGCAACGCAAACAACAAAAAGTGCAAGCGAAACATGAAAAAGTGAAAACTTTGCACTTTGCACGGGAAGACCACTTTTCATTTGAACTATTCCCTATATATATATATATGTGTGTGTGTGTGTGTGTGTGTGTGTGTGTATGTATGTATGTATTTGATCATATTTGATTTTGTCATCAAGCTAACGGAGCTAAATGTAGTTAAATTTAATTAGAGCATGTTTGGCACATAAAAATTGGTAGCTTCTAGCTTCTATATTATTTAAAAAGATCTTAAAAGTCTCTAGTTGTGTGTTTGGTTCAATAGCTTTTATGAGAAGTGTGGGTCTTTTATGAGATGCTACATGAGCTACGTTCCATCTCAAAGATCTTTTCAAATTATTTTCCGTTCCTCGCAATACCCTGCGCACCCCAGCCTTTCATCTGCCTCTTCAACACGCTCTGGTTTTCACTTTCTTCAACAAAAAAAAGGGATTCTTCTCCTCATCAATCTCTGTTCTTAGCCATGTGTTCATTGATTTTTTTTTAATTTCATTTATTAATATGTAGCCAAAGTGTTGTACATCTTGATCTCGAAGTTTAAATCTCGAGATCGGGATCTCGAGGTTTTGTTTTAGAATTTGTGTTAATTCCATCTGTTCTCGATATTCAACATCGAGAACCTCAACTTCGAAGAAATTCCTCGAAAACTCAAAATTTCGTGATTTTCAGCGACATCGCACTGTGTTGGCCATAACTTTTGACTCGGTGATCCTATTTAAGCGTATAATATGTCGATGGAAAGCTAACAAAAAAATATACATGATTTATGGAGGTTTACCCCATAACCCCCAACCACGCGCCCTCACGCGCGGTTCTTGAGGGAGTTTTCGTTCACTTTCCGAGAAACATTGTCAATCACCGATGTCAAGGTCAAATTTTAGGCAAATCTGTTCAAATTCTTCCAAAGTCAAACCTAAGGTCAAAGCTTTTCTAAAGTACACTGTAAAGGTCCGAAAATCGTAGATAATTCAATCAACCTCGCGTCAAAGGTCTTCTTACAACAATCAACAATCAACTACTGAAGCCCCCCCGAACTCATCAACATTGTGTGATCATCAATATGCTGAAACTCTAAATGATGAGCTCAGGGAAAACCGTTATGTGTGGTACCTGTTCATATTGCTCCACACACATAGCGGGTATGACTAGGTGTGAGCAATCAAATCTTGCACATTATGAGGGGGGGGGTTCAGTTTTCTCCTCCTGGCGCCTTACACCGACAAAGCAAGGAATCTCTCAAAGGATGCAACATTTTAGGGGGAGTTTTCAATGTTCTCCTCCTCCGGTACCTAACAAAGACAAAGCATACTGAGTGCTCCAGTTGAGGGGGAGTACAAAGAGAAAATCAATGAGAGAACATGTTCATATAGCTTAGTAAACCCAACTAAGCCTACCCAAGGGACAAAGCCAAGAGTAAGTGAGTGAGTGAGTGAACATTACGAGTGTTAGGAAGCAGAAGGCTCAAGTGAGCAAGAAATCAATAATCAATGATAAGTATGCTACCTCAACTGCTTGTTGTCAATTGAACATATACACCTAGTCACTCAAATACTCTGGACAATTCCCAAATAGGTTCAGGACTGATTTAATCAGATCTCGGGTAGAAGTCGCTGCATCTAGTCCAACGGTGCATTTTATCCGTACCCAAGACCACTCACTTATCTCCCAACAGACAAGTGTTTAATCATATTTCACGGGGAACCGTGACTCTCATTACTGTCTCCTTCTGAGGCAAGTGATACTGACTACAGTGGCCTCAACCCCATGCCACTGAATTATCATTGATCACGTTGTGTCTAGTTGCTCACTCCCAAATGTTTTGAAACTTTCTAGGACACAGACGCACTTTTTGAGTCAGTCGCAGGTCTTCATGACCCGCGAGAATTTCCATAGGGCTCATCTATTACAGATGTAGACCAATGATTTGAAGGAAGTCCTGGTGTTGCAACATAAGAATCACCAACATTTTCAGGCCATTGCTTTAGAGTTTATCTCTATAGTGATGATAACGAGTGTCTACATAACCTCAGGGGGCTACAAGTTTTTGAATGCTGATCTTTATGATCATGCAATAACAACTAGAGTGACATCTATTCTAGATGTTTCACCATGACTGGTTGGAAGTGCTGTTAGAGCTTTAAATGCTTCTATCATTTTATACAGGCCACACATCGGTGTTTACATTGATGTTGTGATAACGGAACACCTCAGTGTATCCAGTTTTTAACTTTCTGTTTTTTTCTTCTGATTTGTTTCCAAGTTCGAATAAAAGAATAAAGGCATGACGCCCCGATTCATGGGATCGTCATGAAGGGGAGAGTGATCCACATGTTGTTAACTCTCAACAAATCATTATCGGACACTTCTCTTCTCCAACACTTTCTCTACTCTCTATCAAAAGCTTCAAATGGACAACTACACTCACAAGTTAACCATCATTTTCCGTTGTGCCACCGACAATGTCTCCTCAAACGCATTCAATTCAAATAGTCAAAAAGATTACATTGTGGATGAGACAAAGGTCAGATACTCCCATGCGCACTTGGAAATCATTAGAACATTCATTCTAGAGGCCCCTTCGGACTTCATTGAAGCTGATCAAGAGCTACTTCTGGAAGGCAAGGTTTACAAGAAAGATAAAGGAAGATTCCTCAACCCGCGACATCAAAGATCAAGTTACCAAGAAGACATCAAAGGGGAGATTGCAATGATTTCTTTAGAAAGCCTTCTTCAGAAGTCGAGTTCAACACAAAGACAAAGATATATGCGCTACAATGATGATTGAACACGATTGAACACCAAGGGGGAGATTGTTGGGAATATTTTATGGTGTACAATCTAATTAAATATCTTTGTATTTGTGTAGTTATTATTTAAATGTGTAATATGGGCCACGAATGTGTATCGGCCCATTAGTTTCTTTGTAATCCATAAGTTAGCCATCTTGTCCTACAAAAGGAGGCTAACTTATGGAAACCCTAAGGCTTTGAGAATTAGAGGCGAGATAGAGAGAAGAGTTTGTCGTTGCTTTCCTTCTCGAGGGAGGGCAACGGCCATTTTCACGGTATACCAGATTCGATTCATCTCAATATCTTTCTATCTGCTTCTTCTTCATCTTCTACGATTGTTTGATTGTTAAGAAACAGGGACTGGGGAACGAAGCACGAGGAGGGGAGCATGAGTTTTTATTGAAGAGACTGAAAAATCGAAGGGTTGAGCGCTTTGATTCGGAAATAAGAAGTTATAGGTAGGTCTGGTGGAGTGGCATTGCTGAAGAAGACACTAAAAATATGTCATTTTTAGGGCAAATCTGGATGAGTTTTGAGTTGTCAATGATATATTGGAACATTGTGTTAGATTATTAGGACATAAGATCAACTTTGACAAATCTAGCATCTCATGCAATGCACAAATCAACTAGGCGTGCTACACTTTGATTAATGCACTATGGTGGGAGTTATCAAGGGGAATCACCGGACAAATATTTAGGACTACCCTCGCTGGTAGGAAGGAAAAAAAGAAAATTATTGTCTATTTAAAAGAGTGTTAAAAATTATAGAATTGGAGTAATCGGTTTCAATCTAAAGTTGGTCGAGAAATTCTATTAGGTGGAATGCATTTGGAAGTGTTAGAATGAAGTGGTCTAGACCCTAGAGGTGGAGGGGGCTTCTCGATTATAGGGATGCAGAGCTGTAGTGATACCATGTTAACTAGTTGGAGAGCTTCTCGTGAAGAGGATAGCAAACATGAGATTTCCAACGCGTAACAGAAAGAGTTGAGATGGAAAAGATTTGAGATGAATCAGATGAAAGTTAATGTGGATATTGTTAATAATCTGATGATAGAGAGATGGGCCTCGAGATGGATTGTCTGAGAAAATAGTAGGAATTTTTTAAAAGCTCGTAGTAGGTTTTTTTAATCCAATTGATCTCTGGAGGAAGCTGAAGCATTAGGAGACCAATGAAAAAGCGGCTCATATCATTGCCTTTATGTGTGGTCGCAATTTCTAAATACACAAACCCACCTTCTTATATTGTAAGTCGTTTGATAAATGATTATTAATATAAGGTATTAGGATAAGAATAATACTAAAAATTAACAAATGGACAAAAAGATTTTTTTTTTTAATTTCAAAAAATGAGACTAAAAATTATTAAGAGGACCATTACACCTCTTTATCCCACCAACCCAGCTCTACAATGACCAATGTTTCAGTGATGCAATGACTTGGGCGGTGAGGGTGAATTTGGATTGAGGAACAAAGAAAGAGAGAATGATAGGATATTAGAGTTTTGTTTTATTTTGTCTTGTCCAAAAAGGTTATAAATCATGGTGACCCAACCAATCATAATAGTGGTAGACCTTATACCCGTGACACCAGAGGCCCATCCTAGCACATAGGAGCTGTGACCTCCACACGGTCGTTGTGGGGTTCGATTAAGAGTTTTGTTTAGTATTTACATTAGATGTATTCCGTCTGTTCACAAGTAATAATCTATTTTCGTCCAAATTAAAAATCAGTCTTATTTTTGTTCAAGTAAAAGCCGGTAATCCTATTTTTGTCATTATGCCTTAATATAATTTCTGGGGATTTAGAAGTTGTTCTCTTCGTCTGATCTGAATGTTTCAGATCTGGATTTTTAGGATCTGATCTGATCTGAATCTGTCTGATATGATATGAATGTTTCTGATCTGATCTGATTTGAATCCTTCTAATCTCATCTTAACTTTCTAAATCAGTATAATAATAATAATAATAATAATAATAATAATAATAATTAGTAGTAGTAGTAGTAGTGATATTAATAACATTTTTAATAATAATATAAATATTGACAATAAACAAAGCAATATAAAATCCGTCCACGTAAAGAGAGTAACGTAGAAATGACAAACACATGAGTTTGTTCTTACAACCCAATAGCAAAAAACAATAATATAAATATACTTAGTGCCATATTCATTTAATGTCGAATTGAGCGTCAAATTTCAGCAGCTATTTCTGACTGCACTTTTTCCATTTCTTGTTTGTGTTCTGGATTAAACATGCTAGTGTTAGTACTTGGCTCATTGGTGGTTGCACTCGAAACTGGAATATCCAACTCGTGAAGGCGCATAAAGTCGTCCAGTGCAAAAGTTGATACAATAATCGCAAGTTGATATTTAATTTCCATTAACGGCATCCTATGCAGTATAACATAATCGCAAGTAAACGAGATATAAATTTTGTTAGATGGTGAAATAAATGTTGTAGATATATACTACCATTACTATGTATTACGAATGTTAGGAAGTACTGTCCAATGCAATTGTGGTTGGTGACAACTACATGTCATACAATAAATGTTCTTAGTTATTCTTTTGTCTTCGATTCATTCTTCTCAAATGGTGACAATATTATTTAGGTTAGTTGGATTGGTACAGAGTATTCGATTTTAACATTTATTAAAAAATCAATTCTAAAAATAAAAACATAACACTAATATGTAATAATAGTAATAATAATAGTAATAATAATAGTAATTATAGTAATAACAATAATAATAATAATAAATAATAATAATATAATCGATAACGATAGAATGTTTCCAATTTGCTATGAATGTTTCTGATCTAAATGATTTTTTTTTACTCCAGGGGTCTGGGAGAGGAGTCTGGGGGGTCTGGAGTAAATTTCTGATCTAAATGTTTTTGATCTGTTCTAATTTCATCTGATCTGAATGCTTCTGATCTGATCTGAATCTTTCTGATCTGATCTGAATGTTTCTGTTCCGATCTGATCTGATCTGAATCTTTTTTATCTGATCTAATAAGATTTTTTGTGATCCTATCAGTTGAGGCTTCAGATTAAAGATCTATTTGATCCTATCTAGTAGGACAATCTCAATTCTCAACTGGTTCGAGCTGTCCATAGAGAAGAGTTACATGGGATTAGGGTTTCTCTCTCCTCTTCTCTGTCTTCGTGCTTCTCTCTATCTCTGTGAATGATTGTTCGATGGAAGCAAATCTCGTGACTGATTATCCTCAGGAATATATGGATCGTCGCCCAAAGAAACGGGCCAGATTAGATTGGGACCCCTCTCATACTCCAAAGGTGTGATTTTTTCCGTTGCTAGAATTTGGGGGGCTTTTTTTAAAGATGTTTACGAGAAACGAAAAATTGAGCCTGACTCTGATAATCTTGACGCTGAACAAGTGCGCTTTAGTTACTGTTTTTTAATTTGGGGATCTGTCCTGACAGACGTTTCAACTTGTGAACTTTAGTCTCAATATATCTTAAAATAAGAATGGGAACTAGTGATTTCCTAATTATAGTCAGAAAATGGACGACCTGATATGTGGATCAAATGAATTATACTCGGTTAAGTTTTTTATGTTATCTTCTCGCATTTATCTTTTTAAATGGAAAACAACCAGGCTTAGTTCATGTGTCATACGTAAAGCTGCTTATGTATGCACATGTTCATTCTCGATCAAAGGGCATACTCGAAAGTTCATCATGAATTGAGCTATTGAAACATATTGCTCTTACAACGTGAAAGTCCATGCATTACTGAAACAGTTGAAGTATGAAAATTACAGCAGAAGTATGAATATTATTACTATTTTTTCAAACAGATGAGTATTTTCCGGGGAATGATTTATCATCTGTGAAATGCTCATTAGCTTTGCTTGCAAGATGTTTTTTGGTTACAAAAGTTTTCAAATATATGAGATTAGAGAAGGATCGATGACATAATGTTTTATCCTCCCACTTCGAGTGTATTTGCTGTTGTGTTTAAACTTGCCTCATGATTTGGTCCTTTATTGCGTACTGATATATGAAGCTACCATTTCTTCCATGTATGTTGAACTGCATTGTTTTGTTTGAGGAAAGTTTTTATGTGATGTCTTATGCCAAAGGATTATCAATTAATGGCTGTGTGTAGGCTCAGCCAGGGATATATTATGGGCAAGAGGTTGGCAGTGTGTCAAGCTTTGCACATGGAAGAGTACTTTCTCATCATGAAAATTTATATTTTAGGGGACTGGTTCAAAAAGGCTCTCCCCCTTGGCGAGATGATGACAAAGATGGGCATTACATATTTGATTTGGGAGAGAATTTAACTACCCGCTGTAATCATGCTACTTTCCCATGCCAAAACATATAGTTTAATCTCCAATTGGATTTTTTTGCTTAAATCTTACTCCAAATGACTTTTTTATTGTGCCGTTCTTTGCCATAACAATTTTCTGAATTCTATTTGAGAAAGAGAAGAGATGACTTCAAGGTTATATTCTGTGGTTATCATGTAAATAAAAAATGAAGTGGATGAATTTTTTGTGTCATCTGTTTTCACATTCGATTTAAGGATCCAGTAGAAGGGTGAAACTGCTATTTCTGAAGTTTATTCCATTTTTAAGCCAAATTAGAGTTTCAAGATAAAACTGCAAAATCTCCTCTGAAATGAGGAAAAGTCGTATTACCTAGCCAGCTCTTTCCTACTCAATACCCTCTATTATTTAGTTCCCTCCTGTGTTTAAAAAAATCTGATCTACTCATTTGCAGTTCTAGTCAAACTTATCCTGAATTAATTTCACGGAATATGAATTGAATATTGGTTATAAATGTTTAAGTAGTGTCATTGTTTTGTTTTATGCTTATAACTTTTCTTTTTGCAGATAAGATCCTCAGGAAGATTGGGGAAGGTAAGTATTGATACCACTTTGGTAAAGTTTTTATAAGTCTCTTTCCTTGTGAGTTTTCCCCTTCAGATTACTATTGTTCTACAGGTACCTTTGGTCAAGTTCTGGAATGCTGGGATAGGGAACAGAGAGAATTGGTAGCCATAAAAATCATCAGAAGCATTAAAAAGTATCGTGAGGCAGCAATGGTAGAAGTTGATGTTCTTCATCTGCTTGGAAGATATGATAAGAGTGGCAGTCGGTAAGTCCATATCAGTTTCATCTACTTGCATGGTTTTTATTTCGAAGTTGTGATTAAAAGAGTTCATTCTTTGCAGTTGTGTTCAATTACGGAACTGGTTTGATTACCGTAACCATATATGTTTAGTAAGTATATTGTTAATTCATGGTAACCTCATTGCCCGGGATTTCGAAATTATATGGGGACTTAAGGCTTGTCAATGAATTTAAATGGTCTTAACAGGTGTTTGAGAAGCTTGGACCAAGTTTATTCGATTTTCTACGGAAAAACAATTATCGCTCATTTCCAGTTGACCTAGTTCGTGAGATTGCCAGACAACTCTTGGAATGTGTAGCATGTGTGTAGTCAGATTCTGCCATTTCTTTTTATCTTTTCCATCCCCATGGCTTTGGGCTCTATAGGACCATCTTGAATGATATCTTTTTCTTTTAGCTACTGCGGTCTACCATACCTGTGTTGATGTGTTACTTAAGTTTCAATCTTTCTATTAGCACACTGCTGTCTTTTCATGTTTACATGCATTTATCTTGAGCCAAAAGATTTCTGGTTGGTTTCTGATATATTTAATATTTGTTTCTCATTTTATCAGTCATGCATGATATGCGACTAATACACACTGATCTGAAGCCTGAGAATATACTCTTTGTATCTCCAGACTACATAAAAGTCCCTGACTATAAGGTATGCGAGATTAACATTTGATGAATGAACTGTGCATCTCTGCCCCTACCTCTTAAAAAGTAACAAAACGAATACAAAGAGAAACTCTAAGTTGTCAGTGCAGAATTACAAAGCCCGTACACACTAGAACATGTAATTGCAAACACTTTATTTAGACCTTCTAGGGATAGTGCCCCCCTGCACTAAATAAATAGTCAACACTTTCTTTAAGTGGACTCTTTGATTGTATTCTACATGTGCAGGTCGCGCCATGGCCACCTAGAGATGGATCATTTTACAAGAGATTACCAAAATCAAGTGCTATCAAGGTGATTGATTTTGGTAGTACGGCATATGAGCGCCATGATCACAATTATATCGTATCTACTAGACACTACCGTGCACCTGAGGTTATCCTTGGTAGATACTCTCTCCCCACCACCCCTTCTTTAAGCAATGTGACCAACTGTTGTGTTCTGTTCATCTTTCTACAAAACTGAACCTAAAGTGCTTGTCTTTCTTCAAAACTGAACGGAAGTGCTGTCTCAATATAGGTCTTGGATGGAGTTACCCTTGTGACATGTGGAGTGTTGGTTGTATATTGGTGGAACTATGCTCGGTAAATAAGTAGTTTAGTTTTTCTTTGTTGCCAAATGATAGTATGACTCTACTCGTTTTAGGAAACAAAAAATATATCTTGTGTGTTACTATTTTCAGGGTGAAGCTTTGTTCCAAACACATGAGAACTTAGAGCACCTTGCCATGATGGAGAGGGTTTTGGGTCCTTTCCCACCTCACATTTTGAAAAGAGTGGAGTGAGTATCCTTTTGTTCAAAAGGTTCATAAATATTAGCATTGTTGTCCATTGTATCCTGCATATTCTTGACTTTGTCGTGTTGTTGATTGGTCTAGTCGACATGCTGAGAAATATGTGAAAAGGGGTAGACTTGACTGGCCTGAAGGTGCAACTTCAAGGGATAGCATTAAGTCTGTTATGAAATTACCCCGTCTTCAGGTAAATTCTAGAACTCACTATCTAGTGGACGCTTGGTAACCCAGCTGTTTTATCTTCTTTATCTTTTTATATTCTATGTTATTTTTATCTTCTAGCTTTTTTATGCTCTTTTATTTTTTTCCTTTTCTTTCTTATATTCTTGTGTTATTGTTATCTTATATTTATTTATCTTTATTTTATTAGTTTTATCTCACTTTTTTTCTTCCCTTTCTTGTTCGTCTTCTCTGTTTGGCACCGATATCATAGATTGATTCATGTTAGCTGACCCCAAATTCTTTTAGGATTAAGGCTTGGATGTTGTTGTTGTTGTATGTGGAAATTGAAAATAAGTAAATACATCTGACAGCAGTGTTTTTATTTTCCTTTTTTTGAAACTAAAGAAAGGGAAAATTCCCAAAATAGGAGTAAAAACATTGGGGAATTACAAAACAGGAGTGCTATGTTTTCCCCTAAATAAGAGTATGTTACGGTCTTCCTTTGAACACGGTAGTATACTGTCATATGCGGCAGTATTTTCCAAGCTTTGCCCTAATTGCTCCTATTTAGGGAATAAGAACTTAGCATTCCTTTTTTGGAATTCCCAACTGTTTTTACCCCTATTTAGAGCAATTTCTTAAAACCAAACCTTGAAATATAATTGAAACATGCATTTCTTGTTTTGATTGTTTGAAAACACGTTTCCCTTTGACAGGATTACATATGTATAGAATTTCTCAGTTATACATTTTTGTGAGAACTAATACGTAGTATAAATTTACACATCCACAACAGATTTACCAAGCATGTTTCGCACTTTTGAAATTTGAACTAAACAACATTTTTTTGATAACAAAACGCAGAACCTCATTTATGCTTTTGGCATAGCCATATATTGAGATGAAATCTTTTCTTCTGCAGAATTTGGTGATGCAGCAGGTTGACCACTCAGCAGGTGATCTTATTGACCTCCTGCAAGGACTTCTGCGATATGATCCTTCAATCAGGATGACAGCTCGTAACGCACTTAAGCATCCTTTTTTCACTTGCGATCAGTTAAGGAGGTCATAAGGGCATTGTGGATGATTTCTTGCCTCTGAGGTGCCCATTGCAATCCACCTGATATTTATGAGGATTGCATGAAAAGTGGAATTGTTGTGCCAATTCTTGCGTGTGTAAATATTGCATCACGAGAAGTAGTTCAGTTCAATGTTGGGATATTGTGTTTCTGCTGTTGTTGCAGCATAAGTTTTGTGAGGGCATTTTTTCCTCCCTGAAATTGGATCTTCTACTTGTTTACTAGATGTACAATCAGTGTGTAAGTCTATTTAATAATAAAGCATGTCCACTCTTTTCTCTTTACCGTTATCACTGGCTCACTGCTATTCCCTTTGGGGTCTAATTGCATTTATTTTCTGTATTTTGCAAGTTGTGCTTATTATAAATGTGTATTATTTGAACTAAAAAAAAAGCCAAAAAATGTTTGAACTAATAAAGTTGTTAAAAAATTAATTTACTCACTGGTGCAACAGTTCGTCCCCAAGCCAATTGTTATGTTGTGTAATCAGGCTGTGTATACAGTATACCATGTTGCCTTATTTCATTATTGAAAATTGAAATGGTTGGGATCGACGTGATTGAGTTAAGATAATACCGAGTATTAGAAATGTTAGGTGGTGCCTATCCCAGTCAAGGATGTTTGTGAAAAGTATGGATGGACTCGGGCCGGGTGGCCTGACCCGGAACTGGCCCGGGACCGGCTAGGCCTGACCCGGAGGGTTTTCCAGTCCGGGCTCGGGTCATCCAAAACAAGGCCTGATCCAGCCGGGTTCGGGCCAAAACTATTTTTTTTCCATTTTTTTTAAATTTTCGGGTTGGGCTGGGTATTTTGGGCCATTTGGGGTGGTTTGGGGGGTTGGGGTGGCAGGGGGGTTAATTAGGAAGAGGGAAAAAAATGATAACGGGCCCGGCCCGGACTGGACCGGACCCAGTGGTTACCCGGGCCGGTCCCGGGTCCACCACTCCTGAATCGCCGGCCCGTTCGGGCCTAGGCCCGACCCGGACCCGGTCCGGACCTGAGTCCACCCCTAGTGAAAAGTGCTCTTTTTTGAAATTATCAAGTGATCAACCATAAAAGTTATTTGTGTTGGTAAATGAAGAACCCGTTTGGTGACTATGTTTTTCATCTTATCAAGTTTATCCGTCAATTTTTCACCAAACGTGTAATCATAAGAAAAAGTAATGTTATAGTTACTTTTGTGGCTGTATTGTTTGAAGTTACTACAGAAGACCATTTTAACTATTTTTCATATAATCTTTTTTCTTTATTTTATTTGTAAGATATACTTTAAATCTTTTTTTCAAATCAACAGAATAATTCAATCCAGTCACTTCAACCAAAACTTCATAAATTTTAATAGAATCAGTCGATTCAGTCAATTTTAGTATGATCGAAGTGATTTAAAGTAGAAGTGTTTTGTGTGGTAAAAGATTATATTTTGGTGAATTCTTTTGGTAAAATAAAACTTTTAAGCATCATTTTCCTATTTAGCTTTAAAGTTTTAAAATTTGAGAGAAGTACCAATTTTAACAAACTATTGTGGGAAACCTTGCTAGCAAAAAGTGTTGTTGTTTTTTGGTGTTAGTTATTTACGCTACATTACATGATGTGCTCTCGATTTCGTCAAATTAGTCTACATTTCCTATAAACTCACCCTTAATCTTTGAAGAATTAAAGAGTCCCGCTTCGTGTACACGCCGGTCAAATTGTCTATATACAGACAATTTGATCGGCTAGACAGACAATTTGACCGGCGTTTTATGAAGAAAATCGATTTCCATACAGACAAAATATCAAGAAAATCGATTTCCACTATCACAGACATATTAAACCTGAATTTTTCATAAAGTGTCTGTGATACAGACATTTTTTTTTGTCTGTGTGAAAATTGGTTTTCTTCGTAAATCGCCGCTCAATATGTCTGTGTAGTCGATCAAATTGTCTGTACACAGACAATTTGACAGACGTGTAAAATGGCGTGTAAAACTTGATGTGTACAAAAGGAATTTTCCAGAATTAAACTTCTAGTTGTTCTGCTATCCAGCATGTTTCCTATCTAGCATATTTCCATTACTGTCAATGTATTTCCATACACAAGGATTCGTCTCTATCTCATTTAGTGTGTATCAGGTTCCTAGCACAACTTTCAAGAGAATGCCAGTAATTGGTCAACACATCAAGGTTCTGAGCAAGTTCTAATTCGCACAGTGCTATTTGATGGCTAAATGTTGATTAAACAATCTGGTGGAAAGAATGATACTTCATCCCGAGCCCCCAGAACTGACTGGACAGTTACTCGGACAGTGGTAGGATCATGTCAAGTTATTGTTTGGAGCTGAATCCGGAACATCTCCCTTGTGGCACTCTCTTCCTATCAGGTGAGCTACGCTCGGGTTCATACATATCCTTTAATTTTGCTTCCATGGGGTCTCAAATTCAAGATGAAAACTTTCAAAAAGAAGTTCAGAGTGACAAGATACTTTCACGATTCATTACACCCATCATAGACATTTATCCATTTACATCAAGACATTTAAGGTGAAAGAAATTTATCGTACTCAAGACATACATTTCATTTACATTAATCACAAGTCATTTACACTAAAGGTAAGTCCCACTTACGCAATAGTAAGTCCAGGGAAGTACCTTTTACTCCATTCATGTATTAATGGCCTCAATCAAGGAAGATGTCAATTAATGGATGAACCCGATGGAAAATTTAACAATACAGACCAACTGAGGGTGAAATAGAAAACCATTCAAGAAGTGGGAAATAGGATTAGCATTTAGAGTTTGTGACCAAACTACTATATACGGAGTATAAAATTCACAGAACGAATTGAATTACAAGATTGAAGAAATGAGATTTTGAAGAAAGTGTTTTTTTTTTGTCATGTCACTATTTAGACACCCTTCATCTAGTTGCATCTACTATTTCAAAGGTCTTCACTTATCTGTCTACTATTTTGTTTTGGGGTTGTCCCACTTAACCCCGATTGATCCCGACTAAACCCGCATAGGCGCTAGACCCTAATCTACCGTGTAGGTGCCACCTAACACGCTCTAATAATCTGTCATGTTTTTATTGGACAAAGTGAGATCGATGATAAAATGTTGTGGGGAAACTTCTATAGTTGAATGAGTGAAAAACACACAAGCATGGAATAAAAAATGAAGTAGAAAGTGAGACTACGTTTGGCATAAATCCTAGAACTATTTTAGAAACACAATTTTGAAAAAGAAAAATTAAAATGTGTTTGTCATGATTCATGAGCATGTTTTAACGCTTGGTTGTGCAACTTCTGGCAACCAAGGCACCAGGAGGAGGGTAAGTAAGGACAATGGTGCAATAGGCATGGAGCCAATATGAGTACTTAATAAGGCCAGTAGATCTTATTCTGAAAGTGCCCTTCACCTGAAACCACACACTCCCACTCTCCATCTGCTTGGTTATGAGGCTGCTAGTGTTCGACGGGAGCCCGACTTGGCCCGCTGCGAGGTGAACATCTTGGAACTTGTACTCACCATGCGTTAGAGGGAAAGGAAGCATGTTAGAGGATGCCATCTGTGTTCCATCATAGTACAGATTCACCATTGAGTCCTTCAACTCCACACTCCCTCTCTTGTTTGGGTTACTGAAGTTCCCTAGTAGAGTGAGGTCAACACTAAGGAGGTTTCCCGTGTCAAGAGAGACTGCATTTAGATCGACGCTTGATACATCAAACTTCAAGCTTCGCGGCTGATTGACTACAAGTAACACTATGAGGATTACCAGGCCTATTACAACAAGTGAGCAACATGCAAGCCATGCACATGGTGTGGCCGTTTTACTTTTGCTCCAACCTGTTGGAGGCCGTGTTTGTGAAGGCTGATAGCGTTCTCGTTGGTGGTCAGGATAAGCTGACTGGGTCCCAGCACGAAAACCAGCACGGCTAGAAGGTGGTAGAGGGAGTCTTCTGTCCGACCCATCTTGATAAGAAGGAAATTCGGAGGCATTTTCCGGGACCGATGATTGATGATGATTAGGAGGAAGAAAAGGTTGTGGTGACTGTAGAACCGGCGATTTATGTGATATTGGCAGCGGCATCCCATACGCTGGTCCATTGGGATGTTGATGGGATGAGGGCGGTCGGGACCTTGTCTGAATATTGGCAAGCCCCGACCCACGAGGCGTGTTTGGTGTTTCATAGTCATTCAAGTCACGGAAATGGGGATTGTTTTCATACCTGGACATACTGGGAAATGGGAACAAGAGGGGATAGATCTTGGGATGGAAGTGAATCATCAAGGAAGAAGGATACTTAAATCAGAAGCATATAGCCGCAGTTTGTCTTGAGAAAGCAAAGAATAAGATATTTGCAAACCATTCAAGGCAAGTGATCCTCAGGAGTCACGACACACCACTTTCCCTTTAAGATCTGTTTGGATGGAAGGCTTTGGAAGACTTGTCTATATCTGAACAAATAAAATGTTATAAAAAATAGATCCAATGTGAAATAGATAATTCAGTCATCTTTATTATGTCTTATAAATATGCATATGAGCATATCTGGCCAAACTGACCAATAAATACATTTAAAATAAACTGGCAATTCAATGATTCAATCCTCTAAATCGTGTCATAGGTTTAGTACTTGATTATGAAGAATTTATATTGGGTTGGAAATTTGGAATAATTTTAACTACTCTTTTGACCCAATCTGACCAATAAGTAGATTTATAGTGCTCAAGGGAAAATTCAGAATAGCGTACTATATCACACGTATGGATGTTGATCTTTCAACTTTTATAAAAGTTCAAACATATATCAAGACATTGGATAAGCCCTATATCCAAATAGGCCCTTGGTGTTTGCTTCAATGTTGCACACAACTTATTCAGTTATTCCTTGTTCTTCTGGATGCCAACAACATAAAACTTTTCACCCCCTGAACTCCTGAAGGCCGGAAGAAAGATCAGCAAATTCCATCATCTTTATAAAACACTAAGATACAAAAAACATTTACCCTTTTTGAATTTCCAAGATCCACGCAGACCATGCAATGTTCCAATATGACATTAACAAACCACTTGAAGCAGTTCAGTAGGAGAAATTAGAGAGCAACTTGTTAAAAATAAGATAGCTTACGGGAAGTAATGGGGACCAAAACAAAGTTAACCCTGATACATTTAATTACTGTTTCGTTGGAACCCCACACAAGGGCTCAAGGGCTGCTCCTTTCCATTCGGCAAAAAACAGTAACATCAGTCATCAGTTGATGAAAAAAACAGATCCATTTTACTATTCTGCCTCATATCTGATTTTTAGATCTTAGAAGAGCCATTGTCGGGCCTAAAGCACTGCCTCTCAGCGATTTATAGGACCAAGTCTTGCCTGAACTCTCCCTATCACAGTTAGTTTCCTGGGAAAGTTGTTGCTTTTTTGCATTTAGAGCTTCGCTGATTTGTTCCCATGGGTCTACATTGTTATCTATAGATAAGGAAATGCCATCATTTTAAGAGGGACGTGGAGTAAAGTTTTATACAGTTGATGCAAATGGGAACACATATAGTACCTTCAATGATGATAGAATGCATTTCTTCACTGTCATTGATCAAATCTTTGTTGTCTGCAAAACAGTAAACCATGTTGTGAGAAGGGGAGGTAAAAATGTTTAGCCCCCCCCCCCCCCATATAGCGAATCTGTTTACAGCCCCTCAGAATATAGAAAAACTGTTTCTAGCCCCTCCAAAAGAACTGTGTTGACTAGCATCAGCTGATTTTCTGTTAATTGAAGGGTGACATGGCAGAAAGAAAAACTAAGGCGGCGGTAAAATATGTTACTAGTCCCCTACAATAAGGCTCATTTGGTCAATCCCTTCATCGGAAGGAAAGAGGAGACGGGGATGCGATAGAAAAATAAAATACAAATAAACATCACTACTTTACCCTCCCTTTCTGCCACATGACTGAACGGAAAATCAATGAAGGTACCACATTCATCACGACTCCATTAATGTGGGTCCAAAAAACTTACATGTCTTAAAGAGTGGACTACAAATAAATTTCATTACATCTCGAGGGATGATAACATGCTTTACCCACTAATACAAAAAGCAACACCCAGCTGAAATCTTCATACCAGGTGGAATGGGAGCGGGTGTTTGCACATCAGCCGTGACTGTCAACAAGGTAGAGTCATCTCCAGCCACACCACCACTGGAGCTAACAGGGACTCTCATTTTATGTTGCAAAATACGAACTTCAGCTAGTGCAGAAAATTCGATCTGCATGCAGATTATAGTTCAAATATTGAGCAGTGGGTCAGTTGCTAGTCTGCTACTAGGCTAAGGTTAGGAGAACAAAGATATTATGTCATGTGTAATTCTCTATTTTTATTCTTTAGGGGAAGGGGTTAACTTGTTTACTTTCTTTACCTCCAAAGATCCGTCCTCTTTATAGTTTGCAACAGGTTGCATTGAAGACTCATCATCTCCATCAGACTTCTTACAAAGGATTGGAAACTCAGGGACCGGCATCAATGAAACCACACCTAATTGTGAATCATAGGATGATACTTCCCCAACCTTCAACAGAAGAGAACATAAGTATTCTATTGATGTTATCCTATGTATGCATGAAATAAGTAGCAAACCCAAACCAATGTGAGAAAATACCCGATAGGAGGATAGCTCAGGTGTCCAGGTGGATGATAGTTCAAGAAACCGATATGCAATCACATCACCTTGCTAAAATTTCAAATAAAACAGGAGAAATAAAAAATTTCAAGGCCATAAAGCCATTCATATGTAGGGGGAGTATCACGATTTTCATTTTATACCCAAGTCATTCAAAAAGAAATGAAATTCCCATTCGAGTGACCCGTTTTTGAAAGCAAAAAAATATGTCATCAATAAAATGAACACACCTTTAAAGAGCCGGAGAGGAACGGAAGTTTAGTAAAGTCAAATGGCTCATTAGAATGATTAAACATTTTAGCATTAGGCATTTCTGATTGTTCTCTATTTGAATAATTAACTTCATTTCTTTGGGTGAATGAAGATTTCTCTGTGCCCCATTTCTGACCCTTTCTCTTGCTGGTGATTCCATTCCACCGAAAACTTTCCTGGAGCAGAAGTTGCACATCATCTGAGTCTTAACAAGAAGATAAAGAGTCCAGCTCTCTAACAAGGATAGTATAATGAAAATAAAAGGAATATAGTAGTGCTGAAGCCTAAAGAGTAAATTATCTCAAAGAAACTATACAACTTAAAGCAGTACTCCAGTACAATTAATGCAGACGCTATTGTCCCACAAGATTTTCAGCAAGTGAGAAGACACTCACACTTCCACATTGTAAACTATATAGTAATCCAATCTGATTCATGAATAAGATAGAGCAATTTTATCTTAAATGGGAACAACGCAGCCAAAAAAATGGGAAAAACATACCACCGCATTCAATTGATTTGGTTCCATAGTTCGTTCTGCATCACAGAGAAGTACTTCACATGTTAGCTAATATAATGCACCATACATTAGATTTTCAAGAGATGAAGCTGTATTTCAGTTATATGCAGAGAAAAGTGCTAATAATGTCATTCTATAGAGCCTTTTTTCCTCGAATATCAACTTGAGTGGCTATAAAGAAGAAAATAGAAACAGAGTTGAACTCCAATTCTTGTACTCCAAGCATAAAACAAAGTAAACTGTTAGATCAGCCATCGTAACACGCAAAGAGAAGAACTGAGCACAGCAAACTACTTGTCTAAGGAAGTATATGAACAGCGCCAGGATATGCAATAGACCTTTCCCTAGACGCTCAAATCGGAAATGTCCAGGCCTTATTTCAACAGGAACAACTTCAGTTTCATCATCGCTATCTTCATCTTGATTTGGTTTGTCACGGGGATTGTTTTTGGCGTCTGATTCTATATGTTCCTTGGCATCTTTAACCATATCATTGGCAGGCAATTCAACCGAGTGTAGCTGCAAATATGTCATCTTAATTTCAGACAGGAATGGCATGTAAGTCACAGAATAAGAAACAAGTGTAGTTTTGTTACTCACAAGTCCCTTTAGTTGATATGAGGCCTCCCTTCTTTCAGATGTACTTTGTCCCTGCACCAAATTTGATGCACATTTGTTAGCATTTTAGTAACTCACGTGTATTGTTTGAGGACTTGCACCGTCTTCATTCTTCTCTTTAGTTTGTCTTTCCAACCAGTTTGGCTTAACATTTTACTATTTTAGGATATAACTTGTCAGAGAATGAATAAACACGGAGCACTTGACTCACAAAAAGTATGAACATTCAGTAACTCACACACCCATTTTGTTGACCACCAACACCCTCTTCACTCCTTACACTAGCCTGTCCCCACCTTGTCTTGTTATGCAAATTTAGTACAAGCAACATTAGTGGTCGGCAATCCCCATAAGCAGAAAATTTATGCACATTTAATTTAATTTACATGTCTGTTTGGTTGGGAAAATGCCTCTTCCAATTTATTAATGCATTGCTTTGCAGTTTCAATACAAAACCAATTAAATGAGAATACAATCTGCTTGTAGCCTTATACAAATCAAATATAGTGCTTGTTTGTTAAAGGTTATTGAGCTGCATTTTCTAACAGGAAAAGATTCATCTTCAGATTATATAAATAATAAATATATACAAGTATATAAGTGGTGGATGCAGGAATTCCCGGTTGGAGGGGCATTAGTGTAAAATTGTAAATAATACATACTAATGCATGTATCTATTAAAATTTTGAAGTAACTATTTGGGGGTGACGGCCCCCACTTGCTCTCTTTTGTGTCTGCAGCAATAAGCACACACACACACAGTACTTGGAAGTGACTTCGAACAAGAAGCAGTCTTTTTCTTCTGAATATTGATAGTTCATATAATTTTTGGTGCGTATACTTGTACAGTAATAGCTTTGTGCATTTTTATATACACTCACATGTCTGTTTGGCTGAACAGTGGTTTCTTCTCTACGAATTTTAGACTGCGTCTCTTTCCAATTACTCTGCAAAATTGAGAATGACTTTCCAAATCAAATCAGTGAAATAGTAAAAGGTGTCATATGATTCATATCTGTGTATATTTACAAGTGCTTCTGATCGAGAATCAGTATTTGTATTCTGTAACTAAGGATAAAATAATTAATGGTGTCTACGCTACACAAAACAGAAGCTTTATGCTTATTCAGATTAGAATACTTACATGTCCATTTGGTAGGTCAGCTGCATCTTCCGTAACAGATTTAAATTGCATCTCTTT